AGATTTATCATGATGTAACTGCCTAATCTTTAAGATCTTATGTGGACGTCACATTATTATCTACACCAACTCATCGGATCGTAACAATCATCAATATATGATGTATAACACACTTAGGCTAGAGATAGAGCAATATATTTGATATGAATAAAAGATGTATAACAACACTAAACAATAACCATGCCTGCAAGGCCGTGCCATGCCATCTGATCAATTCGAATTAACTGAATTAATTCTTCCTGCTTTCTCCATCGTTGGGTTTCTCTCTGTGTTAAATGTTGAATATCTATTTTCCCAGTTGTCTCTTGTTCAGCTTTGAGGATTGTGTGGGCCCAATACCACTACAGATACTAGTAAAAGATATTAAACTTCACCTCATTGCACAAGCAAGTGGCTATCAGTTCTCAGTGGCTAATCGGAACGTCAATACAGTTCAACTATACGGAACAGAAGCTGGGAGAACTACTAAACCAGAAGATATTCAATATCCATTGGCCGGATACCATCAGCAACAGCCTTCTATGGGAAAGGACAAACCACATTCCATATGAAGAGAAAATTAAGAAAAGACATTGGAAGTAGATAAGACATACATTATGGAAATCACCAAACTGCACCACGAGACAATCGCTAACTTACAAACGTGAAGGGAAACGGAAAAGTGGAAAACCAAAGAACACATTATGTATAGTAACTGGAAAGGATTGCCCAGGACAGAGATTAATGTAGAATGCTAGTGAGTGGCCTATGCTCCTCCACGAAGGGTAACAAGCGTAAATAAGTAAGTATAGACTCGATCTGATGTAATAATGTAAATAAAAGTATTTCTAACAGAAGAATACCTAAACAATTTTTTTAAGATATATATGAAAATGTAATAATTTTCTGTGTTTAATCACTTACATTCAAACTTGAATAATAACTGTAATTTATTTCACATACTTATGGTTAAAAAAAGTTGTGAACGGTTGTTCATACATTTTTACCGCAAAATCTCATTGAAATGTAATCATCACCATGTTGTAAATGTTCAAATCTCTTATACTACTTAAATTTATTTGATCAGCTAAATGAGTATGACTCAAAAAAAAGAAACGGAATGATTTTGATAATCAAGTTATTTGATTATTTTTTTAATATCAGATTAGGTTTTGTGGAGATTTTAGGAATTTCACTGATTGAAATCATGAGTTAACTGAAGTTAGATCACCATGGAAAACCTAGAAACACTGGATGGCCGTTTCGTCCTATTGTGGGACTTCTCAGTGGCAGTGCGCATCCACGACCCCGCATACCGCGAGATTTGAACCCTTGACATATCAGTCTCGCGCCAGGCGCTTAACCAACTAGATCACTGAGCCGGCCTCCCACACTGTTTTTTAATAGTTGAGTTCATGAGTCAATTAAAGATAGGCTACCATGACAATAAAAACATGGAAGCACTGAGACTGCCGTTTCGTCATAGTATGAGACTCGTTAACAGTGCGCATCCATGAGTATGGGACAACTGGAGGATATATGTATTTATGCATGTCCACTTACATATTTGTACATTGGAATTGAAAACTTGTAATGTGTGTTAACTTTAACGATATTTCAGATTACAAACTAATTCCAAATAGACAATAACTAATAACTAAGAAACATTGCATAGATAGTTCTTTCTAAGCTTGGAACTTATCAGTAACTTTCATTCAACTGTGGATTGAACCTAGAGTGTATAACAAATCGGCGGCCTGTTTGAACATTTGTGCTGTCTATTTGTGCCGTCTAGATATTCCAATAAGTTAACTGTTTTCTTGTTTGTTTTAACACATCATTATGCCAATTAATTGAATAATCTATTGAAGTGCGTTTCTGAAAAGTGTAAAACATTTTGTTGTAGAAGTTACAAGAGGCTCAATCAGAGAAAACTTGTTTGCTGACAATATGCAGCGAAATATGAAAACAATTACCGCTTATTAATTGCGAGATTCATTCTGATAAATCACATTATCAATATTGAAGATTACAGAAATATATGACCTATATTGAAGCATTGTAAACCATATTTCTCACATAAATACAATGTGACATGAAATTTCACATAGTTCTTTCTAAATATTTCAATTCACATTGAATACAACAAAAGATGTAATTGAGAAAACGGACGTAGTTGATTGATTTATTAAAAAAATGAAGAAGATTCAATGAAGAGAATTTCGTTTACGATGATATCATTTTCTGAAACATTCTCCCATATCGTACAAACATTCCATGTGTTTAAATGAATGGTTACTCTGGTTGTCAGAAGAGGAATGAAGCTCGTGACTTCAGAAGGAACTCGACTTTCGTCACATGCCTCTTATTTTCATCTACCGTTGTTATTTGGAATATAATTTATTTCCTGTTCAACCATGTTCTGATTTGGGGACTTGTTGAGTGAATTGGTATCCAAGAGTACTATGCAATAGAAATAGCTGGTTTGTAATAATAAAGAATTATTACAGTGTTAAGTTTAAATTTCGCTCTCGTCTGTTATTGAAGCTTGGTCGATTGATCTACTCGTAACTTACTATCCAAATAATAAGAAAATCAAATTCCTATTCGTTTACAAGTAATCAATCCAAAACAATTAGTCCCTTTGATAAATTTCAATAGTGTAATAAGAAGACGATGATTATCAGAGTCATGTGGATATATTCGTGCATTACATTTCGAACAATCTGATCATTCATAATATACTTGTTAAGATCATTTATATACAAGAAATAAAAGGTCAACTAGACTAGAAATGAAGGGTAAGAGGGAGACAAGGATAATAAAGAAATGATGTGAAAACAATCTGAAACTTCATCACTCTGAATAATAACCTAATGTTACCAGGGTAGGTTTAAGGTGAGAACAAACTGTTTTTTTGAATACATAAAGTGAGTTTGAATTTTCGTATGGTTAAGACTTCAATAAACCTTAGTATACGCCCTCTTACACTTTTATACAACATCACAAAAGCTGAGTTAAGATCAATCTTATGGCCTGTTTTGATTATATGTTTTGCAATAGAGGATGATGGATGTTTATTCATTATTCTTATTGGGTCAATTGATTCTATTTGTTTCTACAACCATTTCGGCATATGTTCACACACCCTAATATATTGTTCTAATGGTAATTATGACAATTATACAGCAAACCTACAGAGTAAAACTTACTAAATACTAAATCATACATACATACATACATGCATACTTACTTACTTACACCTGTTGCTCCAAATGAAGCATAAGCCGCCAACCAACATTCTCCAACCCACTCTGTCCTGGGCCTTCCTTTCTACTTTTTCCTTGAGCTGCATACTTTGACACAGACTACCAGGCTAGCGTTCGCTCAGCAACATAATTCAGTAGTTGAAGAGAATGTGGAACATGGTTTGAAATCGAACCACCAACTTAACAGACATAACTACTGCTTCAGTGTACTTCCGTTTAAGTTGACACGTTTATTGTTCATTTCGATTCGAATTAACTGGATTGTAAACCATATCACTTATGTCACATTCATGTTTTACCAAAGAATTAGTACAAAATGTTGGGCAATTTATTTTAATATAAGAGTATTCTTTCAAACAAACAATACCCCAAGATCAAAAGATCCAGTACACAAGGAGGAACAACAGAACTGTGTTTATGAAATCATATGTAGTGACTGTAATGCAACATATGTAGGTGAAACATCAAGATAATTGAATGTGAGGGTGAGGGAACACAAACTAAGAAAACTTCAGAACAAATCAGCGATAGCATTATACTCGACAGAATCAGGTCATACAATTGATTTCAATGGCACAAGAATCCTTCAAAAAGGCTTTAATTTTTACAAAGCACGACTAACAGCCAAAGCCCTACATATATGGGCAAATCTAAACAGTATTAATAGGAGAGATGGAACACAATTAGCTGCCCCATAGCAACTAATCATTAATAAGTAAACCTGAACTCCTTATTCCATTTGATCTATCTCGTATTAACTGAATAACAGAAATTACACTCAACGGTTCTAATCAGATATCTTATCTGGACCTATTCTGATATTAATCAACACATGCTCACTGGTGACTGGCTTCAAGAGGTGTTTCCTGGAGTTCTAGTGAGAAGCAGTCACCAGTGAAGTTTAATCGGGTCTGTTGTGAGATAGTAAATCACTGATGACAATGGTGGATGTGTCACTCAATTTCGTGGATTGGTTTAAATTAGACAGGTGAGACTGGGTTTGAATCTCGCGGGGTGCGGGAACATGAATGCTCACTGCCACTGAGGAGTCCCACAATAGGACGAAACGGCCGTCCAGTGCTTCCAGGTTTTCCATGGTGATCTAGCTTCAATTGATTCATGATCTCAACTATTCCAATTACTATAATATCCACCAAAACCCCTTCTAATATTATCTGAATATGTTAAACAATTAACTGAAACATTAAAATAACATAAACTTTCAATTAAAAATACATTCTTCCTCTTTGAAATTCATTCTTTTGAATTCACTTGGTACTGTTTGGTTTGTATCTTCTCATTGAGGTTTAAGACTGCAATTGATTAGTCTGTTATTGGCATATGTAAATATTGTGCTTATGCCTCGATATTACTTTAATTCACAAACTTTTTCATTCTAGGTCATTCTTTTGTCTCCATTTTATTCATGCCGTGACATTTTTGATTCATATTATATATAAAAATAAATGTTTTCTTAATATTCACCGACCGAAGACAATACATAGTTGAATGAAATTTCTTCTCATATGACTTACGTATACACACAATCTGTTATTCTTAACACTTTTCGTTTCATACCATATGTCTCTTACACACTAATGTAAATACCTACTATAAACATTGTTCACGTTGATTGGATGACTTATTCAGTATACAGTAAACCGGAGAACCATGTACCTATTTATATTTGATCATTTTGATGTTTGATTATATTTTCCTTGAAAAAGCTTGGATCAGATTGACAGGTGAAACGTTCAATTTACTTCAAATCCTTTCACTGAGAGTTTACAAATACATATTTTTCCTATTTATTAATCTTATCAGGTAAATAAACAACATACAGTATTCACAAGGTTGTATTATATATACTTTTCATATTATTATTGTTATTATTATTATTAGTATTAGTATTAGTATTAGTATTAGTATTAGTAGTAGTGGTAGTGGTAGTAGTGGTAGTAGTAGTAGTAGTAGTGGTAGTGGTAGTGGTAGTGGTAGTAGTAGTAGTATGACAAGCAACTAATCATTAGGATGACATGATTTCATTTTTCTTCTCTCCTCAAAAAATATATTTCCATTATACTTCATTATTTATCAGTTCAGTGTATAAAAGAATGACAACATTCTTTCCATAAAAGAATATTCACTTTAGTATTTAAGCATAAATTTAATGGAATATTTGCTTATGAAAGAAGGTATTCAATGTATAAGATTATATTCTATTGCTGAATGCTTTCAACAGATAGTTCATTATTTTCATCTTTTAATTTGTATTTGGCATTCACCTCCATCCATCATTTAAGAGGATATAAAAAGGGAAAGATGAAGACAAAGTGATTATAGAAGTGTTGTGTACTTTCTTTTTATTGTGACTTTAAACCCGATTAGTTATTATGTGATTTATTCGCCAATTGAAATACAAGTTATTCAATTTGTGCACTGTGCCAAATCAATGACATGCGACTGATATGAGCAGCGTAGTTTCTTTATTGAACAGTTGATCGCCTAGCTCTGACATTCAAGTCCACAATGCTAATAACAGCTTCTATTATGCGATGCATTTATTTCAGACATACTTGGTTTATATACTAACCAAACAGGTCGCATTACACCACACATATTTATACAAGATCAAGCCAAAAAGTAGTTGTGAACGTGAGAGACTGTAATCAATAAACTGAATGTAACTTAAGAACAGTAAATCGTATGATAATAAATTATAGGTCAAAATGAAGCTTATCATAATAAGGAAAATATAGATATACATAATCTAATTACTGAATATTTATACCAAAAGAATATACAGAAAATATTAGTCCATTAATAGATCTCAGAAGTTACTCATAATTCAATCTTCACTAGGATATAACAAGAAGGAAGAGAAGAAATCCATCACTTTCAATCAACATGTATTATTCAGTTTTGTTTCAAGCCATCCTACTTATTCACCTATTTCACATATCCGTACAAACTGGTAAGTTAACAAGTTTATTTACACTACCCTTTGCAAATGCACTTCCTCTTATTATGACATATGATCCAGTGTACAAATAGAATCAGAACACCACCAACATCATCATCATCAATGATATTTAAAGCTGATCGTTATTCATGTGGATTATTGAACTTGTCTGGTTTGTCATTAGTTTCTGAATAGTATTGAGATGGAATTTAAACAGAAGTATACCACTTCAATTCAATAGGAAAACTCAAACATTTGACAAAGATCGATCACACCATTGATTAAGTCGAAACTTTTACATGAGTTGAATACTTTGATGATATTTAATCACTAATCTTCTTTTTGAAATATCAGTTTCCAAGGGTTATCTCAGTTGTAATTTAACACAATTAACATTGTTAATCGTACTATATGAAATGTTTATGAAGCGAATGAGCATGAACTTCAATGAGACCGACAGTCGATTCCAACAGACTTCTTATGAATAATTTTCATTACAGTGCATTGACATTAATATCTTGAGATGGTGGAGAAGATTTGTAGCTCAGGTGGATGATTTTGGTGGAGTTTTGTTCTCTGAGCTGAATGGGAGACACAACCAAAACAAAGAAGTAAACAATGATAAATTCAAGGTCAATAAGAACCAATCAACATCGAGGTGTACAGAACAAGCTGTGAAACACATATGGAGAAATTCGAACACTTCACTTCTATATGAAGTTTATGCTGATGATGTCGTTCAGAAGAACGATGAAAGCTCCACGACCAAACCATCCAGCTCAGAGAACAAAACTCCACCAAAAATTAATATCTTGTAAGTGATCAGAATCAATTCACTTGAATGTGAAGATCAACATAGAAAAACTATTGAAAATTGTTGAAACAAATACTATTTCTTCTTTACAGATATAAGTTCGAAATATCTGAAGAAAGCTGAAACTGAACTTGTTGTCATTAAACGTCAGTAACAGTTTTGATATTTACAGTCTATTTATTATACTATCAAACGTATTCAGACTACATACAGTATTACATACTATATGAATAAAGAAAATCTTTGTTTACCCGTTTGTGTTGATTAATTTGAATTTGATATGTGTATCATACTGTTTGTAAAATAATGTTAGTAGACTAATTGTTTGGCATGATGTGCATAATAGTCTATAACATACAGACATCCATAAAATTTTTTTGCGATTGAGATCATGAACTGATTGATGTTAGGTCACCATTGAAAAACGAGAAGCACTGCACGACCGTTTCTTTCTATTGTGGGACTTCTCGGCAGTGCGCATCCACGATCGCGCTCGCGGGATTCGAGCTGAGGACCTTCAGTCTCGCGCGCGAACGCCTAACTTCTACACCGTTGAGCGACCATGTGCTCACTATTGACTAGCTTCGTGGGCGAAGCCGTGACCAGCGGAGCTAATCTGTGTCGGGTAGAGATAGGTATCTACCTCAAGACAATGGAAGATGGTCGCGCAATTTCGTGGATTGGTTGAAGTTAAAGATTAACACCGTCGCATGCCAGCCAGCTCAGTGGTCTAGAGTTCAAATCCCACGCGCGCGATCTTGGATGCTCACTGTCGAGGAGTCCCACAAACGAACGAAACGGCTGTGAAGTGCTTCTGGGTTTTCAATGGCAGTCTAACATCAATCAGTTCATGATCCTAATCAAAAACATAATGGTCTCCTGAACCCTATACTGATAATCCATAAAATTTGTTTGATTAATATGATATATTTGTTTAAATAGGTTATTTACTGAATTATGGTTCAGGAGAAATTGGCTACTGCAATCAAGAAATAACAAAACTTAAAAGTAATTTCGTTTTGTAGTTGTGCATTTCAATGTTTTATGCTCGTAAATGTATAGTCAAATCGAATTTTACACGATGAATGATTGTTTGTATTCATTATTTCCAGTTGTTCAACTAATGAAGGTAGTTCGTGTAGATCACTAACGTAGATGACCTGTGTCGAATGACTGGGGGTCTAAGTCACACCTCACTGTCGACACCTAACGTGGATTATTACCCTTTTTTCATATCAAGGTACTATGAATGCTTTGAAGACCTTATAACATAAAGGACGTTGCTACAGAAATATATCAGTAAGAGTAGGCACAAGGAAGATATTGAAACCACCACCGCATGGACCAGTCCATGGAATGGGGTTAATTGATGCCCGTTGGTTGTCTTTGAACTTGACGAGGATCAGTGAACTGTTCGATATTTAGTGACTCGATCGATGAATGACTTGGTTAGGACTTAGTGACATTTCACTGGCCCTACATTCTAATCCATAAGCACTTACCGGTGTCAGTAACTGTGAAGTCAAATTAATGCTATCACATTCAGCTTTCTTTGTTTAAACTATTTTTGTTTCATTGTCATATTTATAATATAAATAATGTTATTGAAATGAAGGAGGAAATATCAAGATTGTTTGTTTGAACCTATTTGATGGTACTTGTTGATTTTTTCACAGTGACTTGAATCACGATAAGTTGTGAAACTTTAATTGAATTAAGTACAAATGATTAACATACATAATTAGGTATTGATGACAGTCTTAAATAGGAATATCAGTGTCAAAGTTTCGTGGTTTACAAAACCTCAGCCTAGATGTTTGACCATGTCAATACTCTCTCTATAACCATTTCCATTGTGATGATTTAAGCATCAAAAGTTCCAGTATGAAGACAATGCAAATGCTAAAATCTAGAGAAATTCCAATCGTTTTTCATGTATCAGTTTTCTGAATTGAATAGATAGTAAATAATTAACATGATAATTCCATAATCAGATCACTTTCATTCAGATTCCCTTACTTCTGGTTAACGATTTTTTAGCGAGTTAGTTTTCTACGGGATGGGGTCGCTAAGCCCATATCCAACTCTCCTCCTTTACCTGGGCTTGGAACCAGCCGTAACTCTAGAAGAGCTACAGGTGAAGTTATTCAGCTTCCTAGTATTGTCGAATTAAATGACTGGAGTAGAGTGTAATTGGTGTTGAAAATTCTGAACTCATGCACTGTATGTTTGTTTGATGGAGCTATACATCGTTTGAATACTAGAAGAAGTTCATCTACATCATCATTTTTATTTCAGATGAGCAGTTTCCATATATTCGTGCTACTCTTTCTCATTTTGATATTATCTGTCACTGTAACTTGAGCACACCTATCAGTTATCATTGATTTTATAAGAAAACCTCTTATTTGATTACAAATAGATTCGATAAATAATATGGACACTTGATAATTTGAGTATTGCAATGTACGTTACATAATTTTGGTAGAGTTTTGTTCTCTGAGCTGGATGGTTTGGTAGGAGTTTATGCTGATGACGTCATTCAGAAGAATGACGAAAGATCCACGACCAAACCATTCAACTCAAAGAACAAAACTCCATCAAAATCATTTACCTGAGCTACAAATCTTCTTCACGTTAAACAATTTAATGATAAACAAGTTCCCCCTAAATTTTCGTGTGTACATTTCAGATGAAATAACCAAAGAAAGTCTCGATAAAGTTTGGGAAATAAACGAATGTATGTGAAAAGGAAACAATTCAATTTTTTAATTACACTAATGATTCTAGATATCAACTGCAAAAGTAAACGTGAGGCTGCTGATGCAGCTCTTATTTCTATGTCCGGTAAGAGAAATTAGTCACATTCAATTATTTGATATTGATGCAACATTTCATTGTTTAAGTGTTCCATGTTGATTTTCAAATCTATTAACCTACAAATCAATTTCATAAGGGAAAGTGGATCAAGTTCAATATCTAAGAATTTTATTCGTTCTTAATAATGACTAGAGAATGACTGAGAATGCTAATTCGGCATCATATAGTTTTTCTTTGTTTAGAAATATCGAGGCAATACATACAGTATGCTTACTCATTTACTTAAGCCTGTTACTTCAAATGAGGCATCGGCTGCCGATCAGAAATCTTCAACCCACTCTGTCCTCCGCCTTCCTTTCTACTTCTATCCAATTTTTGTTCATTCTCCTCATGTCTGTCTCCATTTCTCAATGTAATATATTCTTTGGTCTTCCTCTCCTTCTTTGGCCCTCAGCATTCCACGTGAGGGCTTGTCTTGTGACGCAGTTGGGTGCTTTCTTTAATGTGTGTTCTATCCACTTTCAGCACTTCTTCCTGATTCCTTCCTCCACTGGAATCTGGTATATCCTCTCTCATAGTAGGTTGTTGCTGATAACGTCTAGCCAATGGATCTGAAGTATTTTGCGTGGACAACCATGAACGAACACTTGTATCTTCTGGATGATGGCTTTCTTAGTTCTGCAATTTTTCGTTCCATACAATAGAACTGTTTTGACATTTGTACTGGAAGTTCTAGCTTTGTTGTTGGTTGACATTGGTTTTGCGTTCCAGATGTTCTTCAGTTGTAGATCTGCTGTTGTTGCTTTGACGATTCGTGCCTTCACATCTGCATCAGATCCAGAGTGTTCATCAATGATGCTGCCCAGATATGTAAAGGTTTCCACATATGCCAATAGGAGATTGATCAATTGAAGTCCTAAACATCAATGTAAAGATTCAAGTAAACAATACCAAGTCAATTGAAACTTCACCACATTGTTTAAGTAAGTGGCTATCAGAAATCAGTATCTAATTGGATAATACGATGGCATTTGAAGAGAACTGTACCAGATTTGAGTCCCTCAGTGAACACGAAATCCGGGATGCAGGTAAATCCAGTTGATGAGTCCTAAATAAGATAAAACGCGCGTCTTGGATTCCACTATTAGCAACTATTCATCTTTGCTTAGAATGCACGTTTATTTGATTTATTCAGATCAATATACATGGTCAGTTGAAATAAAATAGTTTCTATGAATGAGAGTTTTCTGACATTTCTTCTATGAGGCGTTGGTTGATTTATAAATTTTGGAGCCTGTAAGTGTACTCTCATTACTTTCACTTGTCTTTGCGTATGATACAAATAATTAGTTGAAGTTTATTATAATTTTAATATTACATCAGATCTCTATTCTTTACAAACATTCCCAATAGTTTACATTTATGTTTTTAATGAGTTGTTTTGTAGCTTTCATGAATTATGCAGAAGCTATAAAAGCTGAATATCGTAAGTGTTCTTAATAACTCCATATATTTTATTATTTGAATCAGCTTGACTTACTGTAACGATTGTTAAGCATTTAAAGACGGGAATACGAAACGTCGTTTTGTATAAATTTCAAAAAAAAAAAAATAAAAACAGCAACACGAACTTGTCGGTAGGGTATATCCGGATCCCAATGTTAACGTTAACATTGAAGATTGAACCTAGTAATTTTAGATTCAAACCTATACTGTACAATCTATAGTGAACATCAATACTAGAAGTAAGTAAGTCCAACTGATGTATCTAAAAGTTAATGAAATACGTCCTGCACTCCGTCGGTATCTCCATATCAAGTATATTAGGGTATAATTTTAACTTCTTTTGATCAAAGTGCAAATGTGGCGATAGTGAATGATCGAATTCGGTTCTGATTACTGAGTATAAGGGTGTCACAAACCCTTTGTACTACATATATTGAATTGCTGTATTTCTGCAGCGACGTAAAATTTGATATTTTTGCAATATTTTCAATTCCACATAGCGACAATCCATCTGGATTTAACGAAACTGAATATATGTTCTAATGAAGTTGCTGTACATTATAAGAGTAAGTCAAAATCTTGAATTACCTGCAGTTTATTGGCATACACCTCAATCATTTGCATGCCTCAAATGTTTTAATCGAATTCAATCCATGTTATTTACTTTGTTCCTGCCTTACTAACCCACTTACCCGTTTGATCACTTAATTACTCACTCACTTACTTGCCTACTCCTACAACTCCAAGTGGAGTATAGGCTGTCAATCAGTAGTCTATAACCATTTTCGTCCTAAACTGTTCATTCCAGTTGCTCCCAAGTGCTATTCGTTTCTTGATGTCAGCCTCCGGTTCCCAAAATGATGTGTTCTTTTATCTGCCTCTTTCCCACTTACCTTAAGGAATCCAAGTTAAGGCTTACTTTGTGATCCAGTTTGGTGATTTTCACAATGTGTTACCTGCTACATTAGCTGTCTTCACCTGCATTTATTGCTGTATATGGGACAAAAGAGATAGGTTATCTGCGCAGTCCAAATCGTCTAGCTGTTTTCAAACTGTCCATGGTATTCCCTGCTGTCTCTAAGATGTGGTAGTCCTAACAACATATTCAACCAGCAGGTGAAAGTGAGTAGCTTTGCATGACGTTAGTATGGAAAGTAATCCGTTGCAAAAGTTCTTTGTAATCTTCTCAAGTACACCGTTGTGTCTAAGAACAACAGATAAGATTCTCCTATACAAGTTGTTTAACGATTTCTCATAATGAAGGGAGTTGATATAAGGTAGTGGGTTCCGCTCAACTGGTGTCACGATTTAGTCAACATACGACCGATCTCTACAGAATTCAACCTGTCGATCTGGAAGCTGTGAGTCTACTGAATCTTTCACTTGGTTAGAAAACAATCTGTTAAAAATTTTCTTGATACTAATAGTGGCAAGGTCCCTCTGCAGTTCTCACACTTGCTGAAATCTACTTTCTTCGGTATCCATCTTTCTAGTCTCTTGGTACTTGTTCTTCCTCTCAACTCTTTCTAAAGACATTGTCAAGCATTTATGTAGTTGTTTCTGTGTTTATCTACGGTACCTTAGCTGTCAGGTCCTTCTGTTTTCCTATTTATGATACACGCTATCTGCTTCCTAATAATTACATTTGTTTCACACTTCACAGATCGCTGTAGATGGTATTACACCATTTTGTTGACAATTGTACTTGCATCTAACAATAACAGTTGGTTCTTTATCTATTTCATCTTTATTAGTGTTTTGTAATCAGTTTTTGTGTGTTACTATTTCACAAATACCGTTTGCATAGTTACAATAAAGTAACCTAATCTTATATACATAATTTTTCTTACCTCTATTGCAAATGTCTACTTTCATACTAATTTCAGCATGATAAGGCTTACAGTACACTCAATACCCATAGCTCAAGTTCGATTACATGGAAATTTTTATTACATTCAATTAATGAATGAAATTAATATTTACATATAATTGTCTACAGATATATGCATAGTTCCTATGCAATATAAGTACATCACATATATTACCAAATATTTCGTAGTTCCCGCTAAATTTATGATGACATTCGCAATAATGAATGAATGTCATCTATTTATTTACTATAAACCAAAACAATTATTGATATCAATAGTAAGGTTGAAGCCGTGACCAGTGGAGCTCAACCGGGTCCGTTGTAAGATAGTAACTCCCTGAAGATAATGGTGGATGTGGCGTTCAATTTCATGCATTAGTTAAAGTTAGACATTAACACCGTTGGATGCCGTCCGGCTCAGTGGTCTATTGGTTAAGCGTTCACGTGAGATACTGATAGGTCCTGGAGTCAAATCTCGAGGGGAAAGATCATGAACGCGCACTGCTGAGGAGTCCAGTATTAGGACGAATCGGCCGTGCGGTGATTCAAGGTTTTCCATGATGATCTAGGTTTCAATGACTCATGAATTCAACTATAAAATTACTAAAATCTCCACAAAACCCCATTCTTATAAAAAGTTAATGATTAATATATATTATAAATGAAATAATCAATTAGGTTTTATATAAGAATTGATGAAGTGAATAATCTTTTTTATTTCTCCTTTTCAAATAATTAGAAAGGAAGTTTGATCACAGTGAAGAAACATGTCAAATGCTGACAACATACAGTACCTCAGGTAACTTTACTTAAATTATATTTCATGATGATAATAATAATAATGTCAGTAGGGGTTTTGTGGATATTACAGTAATTTTATTAGTTGAGATCATGAGTCAATTGAAGTTAGACCACCATGGAAAACCTGTAAGCAGTAACCAGTGGAATTCAACTGGGTCCGTTGTGAGATAGTAATTCACTGAAGACAATGGTGGACGGTGGCTCAATTTCGTGGAGTAGTTAAACTTAGACATTAACGTCGTCGGATGTCGGCCGGCTTAGTGGTCTAGAGCTGAAGCGTTCATTTGGGAGACCGATAGGTCCTGGGTTCGAGTCTCGCGAGGCGAGATCGTGAATTCGCACTGCTGAGGAATTCCATACTAGTACGAGACAGCCGTCTGGTGTTTCCAGATTTTCTGTGGTGATCGAGCTTCAATGAACTCATGATCTCAACTACTAAAATAATAATAGTAGACAATATAAACATTAATTTACAAAATTGATATTTTGTATTATTTTTATTTGACTAAATACTCGTTTTCTATAGTATCTAATTGTTTTACCACAATACAATGAACTAAGGTAATTACAATAATGAAGTCACCGAATAGTCCATAACCTGTCTACAATCATATTGAAATAATTGTATATAGAACGTTTGTAAAATAAAAGGATAAATGCCATTAACTTGAGTTAAATTGTAATTCAAAATGAATATCAGATGTGACACTTATGAAATCAAGCATTTCATGATGTCATGTTAGTCTAGTCAGCTAAGACAATGGTGAAATCAATATTTTTGTTTTATGGACTAAATAATGGAAATAATTTTGACAGGTCCTGAATAGTGGCTGAGTGGATAACGTGATGATTTCTGAAACGAACGGTACTGGGTTCAAGTCCCAAAGTGAACATCAACTCTTTAGATGGTAGTTGGAGATAGTCAACAGGAAACTTTGGACCCGGGTTTCATGCTACTTGGCACTTGTCAGCAAGGCGTACCTGTAATCTTGAGGGAACTGGTGCTCCCTGGCGGATTCGATCTCGTGTCACCCAGCTTCATAGTCAGAGACGTTACCACTGAGCTATCCGAGCCGTGACTAACCTCCTGTAGGATTGAGATGCAATCACAATTGATTGATCACTGGGTGGTGATCAATGTCATGCTTGTCTAGTCCTTATTAGTGCAGATCGACTACCATCTAAATCTCAATACATAGTGCCCGCAATGTCGAGTCACCTAGACTGGTGGCCACATTGCAACATGATCGATAGCATTCGATCTGCACTAATAAGGACTAGACAAGCATGAGATTGATCACCACCCAGTGATCAATCAATTGTGAACATCAACTCTGAAACGCACGTACATCCAGCTGACGAGTCCAAAGTAGAATGAAACGGGCATCCTAGATTCCACTATTAGCCACTATCCATCTTTGCTTATAATTTTGATAGTTATTTGAGAATTTGAGGAAGAGATGTTCTGCAGTTCAGTTACTTAAATCATATCCATAATCCAATCTCGTTATACAATGGTTTTTATTGGCTTAATGCTTACAATAAATTGAATGATATATTTTTAAATAACTACGATTTGTGGATGCTTCTCTGAAAGGAACTTTTCTACTTTTCTTTTGGTTTTTTTTTAGATTTGGAAGAAATAAATGTTTATATTAGTATGAAATACTATGAAATTTATCAGTTTAACTTCAATCTATGTAAGCAAGATATGAATTATGTTTCATTTACTTATCAGGTAACTGTGTGATTTGTAAATGACTAGACAATGGTGATATACAAGCTGAAACAATATCAAGTGAATTAAACTTCAACCCATTGCACAAGCAAGTGGCTATCAGGACTCAGTAGCTAAGTGGATAACGCGATGGCGTTTGAAGCGAACGGTACTGAGTTCGAGTCCCAGAGTGAACATCAACTCTGAGATGCAGGTACATCCAGCTGACGAGTCCCAAACAGGACGGAACGCGCGTCCTGGATTCCACTGCTAGTCACTATCCATCTTTGCTCGTAATACATAATGTCTAATAACGATTCAGTTTTTAATTGTAGTTAGTGGAAGTAACTTCAAAGTGTTAGCATTCAGTTTATTGGTTCTTTAAGAAATCATAGTCATGTTTAAACTTAATTACACAGCTGACCTACCATATATGTCAAACAGTTTAACTTAAGAAGATCAACGAGTGCATTGGGAAATTGTATTTTGTCTCACTGACTCGATAGCCAAAGTTAGATGGGCATCAAATAAACTTTAGTTATTCAATTAAATATTTCTTCTACAAGCGCACTTATGAAGGAGTTCAACGTATGTGTATACAATAGATCTATGTTAGATAAACAGGAAATATCTAATGATGTAATTTCTTATTTTTGTCAATAATGAGATAGATGTCAGCGTTAACGATCATTCATTTACTTAAATTTCAGATCAGTATAAATTATTCTCGAAAATCGTAGACATGCTACGTAAGTAACGGATCGAATGACTTACTAATAATGATCTTGTCAATGAATACTTAATACGTTTTCCGTTGTTGCATGTTAACCAAATTATTGTGATTTGACAATGGAGAGGTGTTAAATAGTGTTATATGTTACTAAAGATCAGTTTAATAGATTACATACACTATACCTATTGAATTGAATTGTCTATTTATATAGATGTTTTAGATGTAGTCGAGTGAAGTGACAATTCGAACAAGTGCTTTCAATTCCTAATTGACACTCAAACATATGGTAGTTTTTTGGTGAGATCTACGACGTGATTGACTAAATGAATCCATATATGTTGAACAGAGTCGATTAAGAGATTTTATATTTGTTAAACCATTCATACCGAATGTAAGTGTATTTGCTGGTTGATCATATTACTAATTACTCACAAATATTCTCAATTAAATTCCAGGTAATAATTGAAATTGATCGAACTATAGTTTCAAAATGACGATCCGTACTTTATTGATTTCCAGTTTAACTATGATCTGTAATCAGTAGTTTTCTGTCAAAGTAACGAATAAACGCTTTCCTCTTTTTATATTAACAGTATAAGGTCTTAATATGTATCCCCTACGAGTTCTTCATCAGACAATCAGTGCGACAAAATTTATTATTGACTGAAATTACTTGTCCGTAATTCGCTGTTTGATATCATTCAGTTACAACGAGAATTAAATTAGTGATTGATGGAGACAAGAATGAAATAAGGAATATGGTGTAAAGACTTAAGATGGTGTAGAAGATTTGTAGCTCAGGTGGATGAATTTGATGGAGTTTTGTCCACTGAGCTGGGTTATCTACAGCACAAACGTCTACGTGAAGTTTGAGCTGATTATATAACTTATCCTGCGATGACTCCATCCGCATAAAAGAAGACAATTCGAGTTGAATTAATCAATAAGGAAGATGATCTTAATGATTTTCTACCTCTTATACAGAAAATGCCTTATTGTACATCATTATCACATGGCTCTAAATTTGGAAACCTGCTTAAACTTAGTAGTATTGGCTCTTGTGATTGGTGCTTTACTACCGCATCGAAAAGTTCAGGATGGAGTTTTAGTATTGGATCATTTTACATTGTCATTTGGCTAATGACAGAGCGAGATAAATTCTGTATAATCTATATGGAAGGGAAAAACTGTTTTCTCGTTAATTTAGTGTAGATTTGCTTAATCATATGCCTATTGAATGTTCAGTAGATGACATGATCGACCATTAGATCAAATATAATTTACGAACAAATGGGATATTAGTCCAACATAGACTGCACAGCCAATCTGGAAACCATTATGTCTTATTCACCACCAGATTTAGAGAATAGGGTATCAAAAGCCACTGATAAGACTATGATGAATGTTTGTTCAGGCGTCATTCCAGTCAACCTATGTGGTATCAAAGTGAGTTGCGAAACTTACATCTCTTTAGTTTGTACTTCATAAACTTCTCTCTTATGGGAAGAAGCAACTAACCAGTGAGTTCACTTAAAAGGTTTGAATGATTTTTTCTGGTTAGCGTTTGATGAACATGGTGGATCTGATGCAGATGTGAAGGCGCAGATCGGTCAAGTAAGAGCAGTGTATTTACAACTGAAGGACATCTGGAATTCAAAGCAACTGCCAACCAACACCAAGGTCAAAATTTTCAGTACAAATATCAAAACAATTCTACTGTATGGGGCGGAAACATGCAGAACTACGAAAGCTATCATCCAGAACATACAAGTGTTGATTAACAGTTGTCTATACAAAATACTTCGGATTCGTTGGCCGGACACTGTCAGGAACAACCTACTATGGAAGAGAACAAACCAGATCCCAATGGAGGAAGAAATTAGGAAGAAGTGCTGGAAGTTGATAGGAAACACATTGAGACGAGCCCTCATTTGGAATCCTCAAGGCCAAAGGAAAAGAGGAGGATCGAAGAACACATTACGCCGAGAAATGGAGATAGATATGAGAAAAATGAACAAGAATTGAATAGAACTAGAAAAGAAGGCGCAGGACAGAGTGGGTTGGAGAATGCTGGTCGGTGGCCTATGCTCCATTAGGAGTAACAGGCGTAAGTAAGTATGTACTTAAAAGGCATCTGCATCAGTATACTCCACTCGACATTTTACTACTGATATGAACATCTGTTTCATGAGATAGGTTTGGATGCTTTGTCAACAATAAACCGAGTATTTTACAGTTCAATATAACAATACATTGAATAAAGTATGGTTTTGTAAAAATGCAATTTGGTTTGAATATCATAGTATATTTTGTTCAGTTTCAGTTCACATGAATTCAACATTTCACATTCAGTGATCCATAAAGTTTAAATGCATTTTCAGTTGTTATTTGACAAACTGTTTCAAAATCTATTCCTTTTAGTTTTGCAATATGTTCACAAACTTTGATAGCTTCATCTGGTTCAGTACGGCTCTGTAATTCAAAATGATGAACAATGCGAGATGTAAGATAAAAATAAATTTTAACAGTTGGATTGAAGTGTCGACTTAAGCTAGACCACTACTGGAAACCTGGAAGCACTGGACTCTCGTTTTGTCAGTGCGTGGGACTCCTCAGGATTGTGCAACCACGAATACGCAGTCGAGGCTCAAACCAATGACCTTCTGGATCAACATCCAACAGTATAAATGTCTAACTCCAATCGATCCATGACTTTGCACAACCCCTCACACTTTGTCTCAGGCGGATAATTGTCTAACACCTGATACGGATTGAACTCCAATGATCATGGCTTCTCACAAGAACTACAGTGAATCCATCTTGAAACTAGTCACTAGTGAGCAGAATGGGGATTAGTGTAAGTTGATGAAGGGTCGCGTAAGATTATGGAGGGATTGAGGTTAGACATTAAAACTGTTGTATGCGGATCCAGTGGTTTGGCGATTAAACATTCGCACGTGAAAGCGAAGGTCCTGGGTTCGATTTTCATGTGTGGGATTGTGGATGCAGAGTCCCATACTAGGACGAAACGGGATTTCAACGGTGATCTAGTTTAGACAGACTCATGAATTCAACTGTTAAAACTAATACAATCTCCAAAAATTCCAATTCTGATAATAGAAATAAATATTTACTATCGTGCATAATTGTTAAACTTATAATCGATATTTTTCACTGGAAGATATCACTTGAAGTAAACAACACAATCACTGGGGGCACTAGTTTAGTTGCTTTGCCCGAATAATACAGTACTTTGACTGAAACGAGACTTGAAGATTATAAATTCTATATCTCGAAACAGCCAAACACTAACACATTTCAGTTATACAGTGTTTTTTTTTGTTGTTGTTTGTCAATGGGATTTTAACTGATTTCAGTCTGCAATGAACTTATAGATGATTCCACATAATTCTGTTCGCAGTAAAAATTTGCCAGTCCGTTTGAAATTGAATTGCGTTTTTAGCTCACTGTAAAGATAATTCACAACTCATGTGTACATCAGTTGGAATAATCATCATTAACAATAAAATGTTATTATGAGATGACATAGTAACAATATACAAACTACTGTGTAGTGAAAGCATTTATAACATAATAAAATGTAGATAGAATCTTCACTTGACTGACAATGACTAGTTTCTAGGTAGAAATTCCTTAACATTCATAATTATTAAGCATTATAAGTAAAGGTGGATAGTGGATAGCAGAGGAATCCAGGACTCGCGTTTCGTCCAGTTTGTGACTAAGTGTCTGCATTTCAGCCACATCCAGCTGACGAATCGCGAATTGGACGAAACGCGCGACCTGGATTTCAATGTTAGCCACTATACATTTTTGCTTATAATGCTTATGAATTAAGGCATTATGGAGGTAGTCCGCACAGTCCTAAACATCAATGGGAAGATTCAAGTAAACAATACCAAATGAATTCATAATTATTGCGTCACTCATAAACATTCATTCCAGTAATAATTGTTATCAAATCTTAAGTAAAATAGATTTATCTTCGTCTAATAACAAATTGTAAAATCGGGGTGTTTTTGGTTGTTAAGACGAACGAATTGAAGAAGATAAATGTTTACATGGAATGTGAACAAAAATGTGAATATTTACATCTTCCACTCTTCATCCATTCTGTATACTTTGATGCATGCATGTAAACTGATGTATTTGTTTTGACATGACAAGAAGAGGGGTGCTGTTAAATTTTAACTACACAAAGGTAGAGCTGATATTTAGTGATCAGTGTAGCAAATGCTGAATTTATTCATTTTGTATATTTTAGTACTCGTTTGTGAACGTTCACTTATATATCGATGTCCCAGTAGATAAGTTTCACTGGCTGAGTGTTCACTTTTAAGTCTTCACTCAAGAAAAAACATATACAAACACAATCAAAGACAGCTTTGTATAACTCGATTTCTGTAAGATCGTGTTTAGAGGTAGTCAACAGGAAACATTGGACCTAGGTTTCGTGCTACTTGGCACTCTTCAGCGAGGTGTACCTGTAATTTTGAGGGAACTGATTCGCCCTAATGGATCCGATCTCGTGTCACCCAATTCCACAGTTATAGACGTTACTACTGAGCTATCCGGGCCGCGAATGACCTCCTGTAGGGCTAAGATGTAATTACAATTGATTGATTACTGAGTGGTGGTCAATGTCATGTATGTCAAATCCTTCTTAGTGCAAATCAAATCTTATCGATCAAGTTACAATATGGCCACCAGTCTAGGTAACTCGACATTGCGTGCACTATGTTGATATAAGATGGTATCTGCTGAACTTTAAAGAAGCAATCTTCTAATTTATTGCCATAAAATAAATGCAACTTCGAATAATAAAACATTTTCTAAGTAAAAAGAAGGAAAACATCTTTTTTTTCAAATAGAAAATTGTCATCTACCTGTATTGAAGATGAACTTAGTACTGGTGCATCAGTTTCAACTAGAATACGATCCAATGGTAAAACTTTGACTAATTCCTGTTTCTATAAAAAGAAATATTTTAATTGAATTTATGAAGATACATTGAGATTATCACGTTTAGCAAAAAATATTCACAGAGAATCAACTTGTCAGGATTTATGTCTTAAGCTCATATAGTGCAGTAAAATTATTCACTCAAGTTTATATTACACTATAGAGTACTAATAATTGGAACAGAAAAACTCTTCAATTCGAACATCATGAAGAAGCAGATATAACTGGTGACGGGTACAAAGTTGTTGATATACGTTCATGGATATATCCGCCTAGTGAGAAGCCGTGACCAGTGGAGCTTATCCATGTCGGGTAGAGACAGGTATCTACCTCAGTAGAATGGAAGATGGTCGTGGATTGGTTGAGGTTAGACATTACCAATGTTGGACGCCAGCCAGTTCAGTGGCATACAGGTTAAGCGTTCGCGAGCGAGACTGATAGGTCCCGGGTTCGAATCTTGCGAGGAGGATCGTGGATGCTCACTTCTGAGGAGTCCCACAATTTTTAAACATAATTAATTTAGTCGTATTTTTTCATTAGATTCTAACAGTTTATTTATTCTATGAGGTAATAGGACAGAAATATCTCTGTAATAATTATTTATGGGAAGCTGTGTCAGTTCAGCTATTATCCTGGTCTTCATAATGCTCATGCTACTAAGACAAACTGTTTTATAAGCTTATAGTGTTCTCGTTATGGATTCGTACAGATAGGTCCAATTCATCAAAATCATGCACTGATGTAATACTGATGATAACTAAAAAGCCTGTTAACAAAGGATGGTCATTTTGTTTTAGAATGGGACAGCTCAGTAGTGCACATAGACGATTTCTCACGCGGAGATAGAACACAGAATCATTGGTCTCATGCATAAACGCTTAATCTCTAGACAGTTGAACCGGGATACATTGATGTTAATGTTTAAATTCAAACAATCCACGACATTGCACAGCCACCTTCGATTGTCTTCGGTTTATAACTACATCGGATTGACTCCATTAATTAGCATCTCTATTTCTATTCGATAAACAAGTGTCTATAATTCTTGTTTAAGTAGTGTGTATTATTTTATTCGTTCTCTCAACTGTATCTCCATTGATCACTAAATATCTTTTACATAAAATTCATTTCTATCAAACTCGAAAGAAAGTGTGAAAAAATTACTCCATGCAGTTCTAGTTAAAAGATGTCTATGGGATATGTGTATAGAGGACCAAACTCAAAAACTGAAACTGATACAGCATTTTCCAAAATGTTCGCACATGTTTCAAAATTGAACGATGACTTTAAACAGATCGTTGATGGTTTAAACCTCCCTGAAATCAATTGGAGGGCAGGTAGTTTTCTTCAATGACATGAAAAAAACGTTGTCGCTATAGAAAATTATAGCCAGAAACAATATATCACGCAACCTACACAAGGTAAAAATGTCTTGGACTCGCTCTTATGTCACAGCATGACACATACAGTAACACGCTTTGGCAAAGTGTTTTCTCTCCTTGCCAATCCACGCACTAAATACAGTGTTAGTAATATTCGCAGAGAGTAACAACATGGTGTTTTAAGTTTTTTAGGCTAGGAGATTTTAGTGAAAATTATGCTCTGATTAGGATGGCTACTTTACTAACAACCCATTATCGGATGCAATGATGATCCTCTAGAGGACTATGTTGTCGTGCTGGAATACCGTGGCCCCAGGAAAATATACAAGATTCACAGAGATTATTCTACCTTCCTCCTACTCTCTGTACAACTCCACACTTCTAAAGAATTCGATTTCTTGTACTTGTGAATCAGTGAGAGTAATATGTGATGAGAACAAGAGCTTGGAATTCATAGAAGTGACTCTAAAACAAATCGTTGAACATCTCTAAATTAAGAACATAAGGTACTGAACACTTATTCTAATGCATATGTAATTTCATGTGCACTTTTCAGGTTTTTTCTCATAGCATATCTACTTACTTACTCCTGTTACACTTCATGAAGGAACATAGGCCGCTCACCAGCAGTCTCAATCCAAATCTGTCCTGGACAATCCTTTCCAGTTGCTATTCATCCTTTTCATGTCTATTTTCAATTCTCGAAGCAATGTGTCCGTTGGTCCTCCTCTTTCTTGTTTCCTCTAACGATTCAAAGTTAGTGATTGCTTCATGATTCAGTTTGATGATTTCCTCAACGTGTGTCCTATCATTTCCATCGTCTTTTCCTAATTCACTCTTTAGATGGAACCCGGTTTGTTTTCTCCCACAGTAGACTGTTGCTGATGATATCCGGTTAACAGATATTGAATATCTTGTGTAGACAATTGTTAGTGAATACTTATACTGCTTTGATGATGGTTGTGGTAGTTCTGGTGACTTCAGCTCCGTACAGTGGAACTCTGTAAACGTTTGTATTGAAGATTCTGACTTTGATATTGGTTGACAGTTATTTTAAGTCCCATATGTCTTTCAACCGTAAGAACGCCACCCCTACTTTGTGTTTGTCAGTATCTCGAAGGGAGGCTGAACCCTATTAATTCTGTTTGCTCATTTGTCCAGTGCTTTAGCTTCAGTTCCATGTTGGCAACCACCAGGTGATGATCTGAAGCTACGTCAGCTCCTCTCCTTGTTCTCACATTTTCTATTGACCTTTTGAATTTTTCAGTGACACAGATATTATCAATCTGGTTCTGTGTAGTATAATACGTTGAGCCCATGTAACTTTATGTACGCGTTTGTGTGGAAATATTGTGCCTCCTATAACCATTTTGTTGAATAAGCATAAATTTGCAAATAGCATACTAACGTGTTATAATTATTTTAAATTCGGCATAGTAACGAGATGCTTTTTTGTAGATGTACAATTCGGTACAGATATACTCTTCCCATAACAGTTGATATTATGAGCTAGTTCTAGCTAAGCAAACAATTAAAATCAAACATCAGTGAACATTTGTTTCTTTCTACTGTATAACTGATTACTAATATACTCAAACGACTAATACAAATGAGGCAAAGGAATATCAAGACTTGTAGCTACTCTGTTAATTTGAGTTTACTAAAATGACATTTTAATGGTTCATATTTATAAATCTAGTCGATTAACTTGCCATAACACCTAAATTGTAGAGGAGATTTGTAGCTCAGGTGGATGATGTGGAGCTCTGTTGGGAACGTTAGATCCCCAAAACTCATATTTTGTAATTTTAACTTTGTGGAGCTTCTATGCAGATGTATGCTTGGGCATTTCTTACCACCCACGCAATTGTAGGTTGACGAACTTATCGATTAAATGTTAAAAATTTCCATGGCAATATCGATTATATATATTTTGTATAAATACGTTTGATTTGTGTGCTTCATGAACCTGGTATCTTCTGGTTGTCTGTAGAATACACTTTCTACATCTTACCAAGACTTCTGGATTGAGTTAGCTGAGTCGGGGACAACGGACCAGTATAGACTATCGAGCCTCTGAATCCTTGATTCTTCGTTCTGTTCTGAGTAAGACGAATCAGTAGTAGCATTCAAGTTGACGAACATAACAATCTCCACGACTAAACCATCTAGCTCAGAGGAAAAAAAACTCCAGCAATTACACCTAAATGTTCTTGGTTCGAACTTTAATGGTATCTATGGTGTACATCAGTTAGATATTAGATACTAGAATGAAAACACTGTTTCATTTTCTATTGTTTGTTCTTGATATCATACTAACTATACTACAAAAAAGCGTCCATATATACTAAGTTCTATATCACATTCTATTTGCATTTCATTAACGTATCATTGAAGGCTTAAACAATATCCATAGAAATTTATCAAAGGAGAGATGTTTTCCCCTGATATCAAATATTGTTCTATTTTTATTAACAACTTCACTTTAATATCATTCATTTAAATTTCAAACACCCTAAATATGTAGACAATATTACTATGAGATGATTTATTATTATGTAATAAACAAAAAACAAATTCAGTTACGTAATATGTTAGTGTAAAGAGAATGATATGTTTCATGATTTATTTGAATGATTACATTATTGTTAGTTTCATATTGAGAAGAGGGTTTTGTAGAGATTGTAGTAATTTCAACAGTTGAGATCATGAGTCCATTGAAGCTAGACCAACATGGAAAACCTGGAAGCACTGTTTCATTCTAGTATACGATGCCTCAGAGGTGCGCATCCACTATCCCGCATGTGAGACCATAATTATACATAACACATCAAATTCTATTGTCAATAATTAACATGTAGACAACTAAATAAAATAAAAATAACACTTTTAATTATCTTAGCAACATATCGTTTAAACAAACCCACCGATACAAATGACTACTTAGACAAATAAAAACTATTCAAAGAAACAAACTACAAACTACCTGATGAAATTCAATCAGGTCAGTTGTGACATAGTAACACACTGATGACAATGGTGGACGGTGGTGCAACTTCGTGGATTAGTTGAAGTTAAACATTTACACTGTTAGATACCGGTTTAATGGTCTAGTGGTTAAGCGCTCGCGCGTGAGACTAATAGGTTCTGGGTTCGAATCTCTCTTGTGGGGGATCGTAGGTGCGTACTGCTGAAGAGTAACTCATTAGAACGAAATGGTCGTCCAGTTTTTTCAGGCTTTCCATGGTGGTTTAGTTTCAATTGATTCATGAATTCAACAATTAAAATAAATAAATTTTCTTTAAAAAAGAAACCCTAACACTATACAGAATTATTTACCTGTTTACTTCTTGGTAAACTAGATGGTATTGAAAAGTAATAACCTTCACTTAAGCCAATCATTGCAATGGATGGTCGACCATCGAAAGCATGTAGTTGAACTTTTGTAACACCTAAAATCATCAATTAATACCATTTTATTTGTAAACAAAATTAATACATTAATACTTAAGCTAAGTGTAGATTAACAATGAATAACAAAAAACAAAAAGTTATAGAAAAGAAAACGTTTTATACTTTTAACTGTAATCATTAAATAATGATAAAGGTTTTTAATGACATTCATTCAACAAAACACTGAACAATAATTTAACAAATGCCCTGGTACGGCCGAGAGTGGGGAGAGTCCGCTCTCCCTCTCGAAATGCTCTCACATGGTCACGCGTATATAGCCTCTGCCAGGGAAGTCCTACTCAATGCCTTCTCTTGGGGGGGGTGTTGTTTACGAAGTCGAGAGGACGAAAAGCGAATGTTCGGCGCTTTAACCAGATTTGAAACCAATGGTGTACATAGGCTCCAGTATTCTGAAGGAACAAATGGCGTATGGACCAATCGTTGGTCACCGACTACCATGTAACTACCTTTTGGACCAGACCTTCAGGTCGAAGGCTCCGAGTGTGGCTTTTTAAGAAACCACCTGCCTCGGTTTAGGCACCCAGGTTGTATCACAGCCCTCACGCAAATCGAATGATTTATGTGGCGCATATGTGTTTGGTGCCTCCTTGTACCAATATTTATGTGTTAAAATAAATAAATAATTATCAGAATGGGTTTTGTGGAGATTTTTAGAAATTTCACAAGTTGAAATCATGAGCCAATTGAAGCTAGACCACCATGGACGAAACGGCAGTCCAGTGCTTCCAGGTTTTCCATGGTGGTCTAGCTTCAATTGGCTCATGATTTCAACTTGTGAAATAAAGAAATAAATAAATTTAACATATTGATAAGGCCATCAACATATATTAATGATACAATAGTTTTTAATGATTATCGTTAATACAATAGTTTTCTTCACAGTTGAATTCATGAATTGATCTAAGGTAAACCACCAACGAAAATGTGGGAGCACTGAACTTATGAATTCTAATTGTGAAAATACTATAATCTCCACGATTTCCCATTCTGATAATAATCATCTGCTTATGAGTGACTAGCTTCAAAATGGATTTTATGAAGTTCTAGCGAGAAGCCATGATCTGTGGAGTTTAATCTGCATCGGGTGTGAGATAGTCATCTACCTTAGACAATGGATAGAGTTGTACAAGATCATGAATCGATTGAAGTTAGACATTAACACTAATGGATACCGATTCAGTGGTCTAACCAGACGTTAATCAATAATTATAGTTACACAAAGATAAGTTGCAAACATGTGATGAGTAATGGGATAAGAAGTGCGCACACACACACACACACCTACGCACTCATATAAAAACAGTCAAGATTGATAAGCGAATAATTAACAAGGTCAGAATGTGACTCAAGTAGAATGAATAGATTGGCCCGTTCGAAAACGAGAATGAGATATGTGGGCTTAACATAATGACCAACACCATACATTATATATATATATATATATATATATATATATATATATATATTTCTTTGATAATCTTGATTTCGACTATTCTCCTGAAGAAGTTCAGACAAGTTGGTTGGACGAAACATTGGAATTTTTTATTTTAAATTTCAATCACTGAGATTATTATTTCAAACATAATTTTGCTCATCTATTGACTTTTCTATACTCTCAGAAGGGGTTTGTGGAGAATTTAGAAATTTCACAGATTGAAATCATGAGTCAAATGAAGCTAGACTACCATGGAAAACCTGGAAGCACTGGATGGCCATTTCGTCCTAGTATAGGACTTCTTAAACTATTAATGAATATTCGTAGAAATTATTTCATCTGAATAATTTTCAAGTTCAGTGATTAAAAAAACAAACAAACAACCAACTGTTGTAACAAACCATTATTTCATTATGGGAATTCTCTACTGTATTCAAACATATGGTATTCAATCAAATGATGATGATTACTTTTGGCTTAAATCTATACAGACAGATTAGTTTTGAGTATATACAAGGCATAAAAAATAATGAAATTTTGTTATTTAATACTTATATCAATTCAATAGTTATATTATACATTATGAGCAAATGTTTGAAAATTCAAATAATCTCATATCACTTAACAATATTTTTTTCTTTCGACAACATTTCGAACAAAACTAATCAGTCAGTCAACTAGTCAATCAGAAACAATGTAGAACTTCGCACGTAATTACATCAGTTCGAGTTGCCATACCACATTACATTAGCACAGAGATGCAGTTGTCGATTCAAATCCTGTAGTGGTAGAGGTAGTAAGGGTATAAGCAGTAATCGGAAACATTAGGGTTTGGAAATGTTATTTAAAGAGTATAATCCAGTGAAATAAATTTGGGAAGAGAAAAAAAAGAGACAAGGAGGAATCAGGAGATTAAAATTTGGGAGAACACAAAGAGTAGATGCATCTGCGCCATTGCAAACGATTTTGAGCCATGTCATTCAGGGTCTCTAACCATCGGTTGCTATCGTCTCTCGGATCCCAACCAGGTAGTCTACACCTACTAACATGACTCAGTCCACTTATCAGTGACTTCATGGACTTGTGCCATGTTTTGATCTGGCAGCCCCTAGCTTTCTTCCACTCTACTCCTATACCACTGAACATCGCACATCGAGGCAGTTGGTCGTTGGGCATACGTAATTATGGATTTGAAGTAAAATGAAACAACCTACAAATGTTTGTTTTCTAAAAATTCAACGACAACAACAACTACTACTACTGTGGTGTGTGCTACCTATATTGACATAAGTAGTATATCATGTTAGTCGTGAACAGAAGGTCTGGCAGCAGAGTGACAAGAGGATCGAATGAAAACAGAATGCAATTTGTATTAAAATGCAAGAACAATGAGGTCTGAGTCATGTTGAGACAATTGGTGGACATTTTGCAAATTAAGCATTTACTATATGATTGATAGATTTTATCAACAAGTCCTGTAATTTTTTGTTAAATACATTCGATTGTCCCCACTGGTGTTCTTGTTCACTACACTACTACTACTAAAACCGCTACTACTTAAGTAGGTATCATTACCATGGTTTGATTTGATTATTTCGAATAAATTGAACACTGGATAAATTGTTATAAATAAAAATATTTATTTGTAGATATCTCAATGAATAGAAAAATTAGATTGATTGTACTTAATATTGTTGAGTTGCTCCTTTATACTTATTAAACTTGGATTCATTTTGACTTGGTTATTTATTTATTCTCTGAAGAAGTGACTAACACTAAATCACGAAATATCAGAATATCTCGACAGATATAAGTAGTATGTATTATCAGTAGAAAGTCAAATGCCAAGTGGCAGAAGGTTAAGAAGATTCAGGAACAGAGAACGTGAACAAAGAATGATTGGCGTGGAAATGAAGGGACAATGAAGTCTAAGACGACTGATTGACATTCTGCAAAAGAAAAATTTACTGGATAGTTCTCAGATTTTACTAAGAGATTCTGTAATTTGTATATATATATATATATATATATATATATATATATATATATATATATATATATATATATATATATATATATACGTTTCATTCTCCCCACTTGTGTTCTTGGTTACTATAGTATCTTCAATTTATTTTTATGAGCAGTAAAATAATGTGAATATATGTGGATATACATAATGAACAACGGTCTTATAAATGGTTGCTATCTGGATGACTGTTCTACTGTCACAGATAATACTGATTCGACCAGATTGTTAAAAGCTCTATGTATTCTGTACATGGACTAATTTATCTATTTTAATAATAAAACAAACATACTACACGAAAAGTGAAGAAAATCAGTTATTTTTCTTTAAGTAACTACTGAGCCAGTGGTAGTGATACCTCTATATACTTAGCCAAGATCGAAATATCAATTAAAATTCTGAGTATAAGTCAACAGACTTGTTGTATCTATTCAGTTAACTCGTATCTATTCTATGAATTAAATACCTTATACAATCTTCTTAAATCACACAGTTACATTCATATAATATACCCTTGTGGGACAGGGTAATTTTACATTGGTTTTCAGGAGAGCCAGATACCATCCGGACTTTCACGTGACAAACCAAACAGTCCACCTCTATCCCGTTTAACAAGAGAGTCAGACACCACCCAGGCTTACATTTTATAAACCGAGCAGTACAGCTCAATCCCGCTTCACAAGAGAACCAGACACCCTGTAGGCTTTAAAGCTACAATCTGAATAGTACAGCTCAATCCTGTTGCGTAACCACACAGGTACCAAGCACCCTGGTGGACTAAATCTTCTTAAATAGTAACAATAAACCCCATCCTATACTGAACACTAGCAAATAAATTGTTTAATACTTCATCCACGGCAAAGATGAGACGGATATGATGGAAAGAAAAGTCGATTTTCGATTAATTTACTCATTACACTACTTCTGTTTTGATTCATTGTAATGATTACTCAATGTAGTATTTGTTTTATTGTCTCGCATGATATTTGATTCTGTATAATATGCGATGTTCTTGTATTCCATTGATATGAACTATGCCTAACATATAATTTGTTATAACAGTAAGTATTTTTCATATATGTGATTTCATTCTAATTATTAATCAAAATTGGTGTACAATCAGTATGTAAATGAGTGCATCTTCTACTAGAGTTGTCGTCGTCGTATTTTGGAGTTAATAAATCATCATTAATACCAGTCTTTGTGTTCTTACTTTCGCGTCGTCGGAATTGCAAAGGTCCCTCGTTCCAAGTATAAGTGATAAGCGTTTCCGACATAGTAATCAGCGACAACCAAATACAAAAAGTAGCACTAAAAGAGCCAAGACAATAAGCATTCAAACCACAAATTATAACAGAGACATCTATCATTATGAAATGTATAGGCTCTTCGGGTTACACTATCTTCTGAGAGTATCAATATTTTTCATACACTTCCATTCATCAGACATGTACAGAAACTATGTTCCATAAGTTATCGCAAATGTTGTTTTAACATAACTTACGAATAAGGTCATTGTGTAGGGAACAAGAACAAGAGTGGGAACAATCGGATGTATTTGAACACGAAATTACAGAACATCTCACTAAAATCTGAGAACAATACAGTAAACACTTGCAAAATATCAATCCATTGTCTAAAACTTGACTGTTTCTCTTGTTAATATCAGTCCATCATCTCAGATTTCAATTGTTCCTGTATTTTCATGTCAATTGCTTTCCATTCCTCTTCTTTCTTTCTCGATCTTCTACTGAAATACATTCTATTCTTGACTATCGTAATATACTATTTATGTCTATATAAGTAGTGCACAGCACAATTCCAATTAATGTAGCTTTAGATTTTTTCACATGTTGCCTATGATCATTCCTGTAAATTAGCATACTTCCTGTACTTAATTTCAATACATATAATACTGATATGCAAAGTATACATGTTATAAAGTAGTTATTGAAACAAATCACTAATATCATACTAAACTTATTGAAATGATAAGTAAATTTACCTTCAGATTTCAATATGTCAATGGTTTCTTTTCCAGCAGAACGTGAATGAACATTTCTAAAATTGACAATTAATGTACATTATTAAGAGTATTTTATTTTTATCAAGAAGATATGTTTTAAAAGTTGACGGTTTGAGCATTAGCCATTGAATCAGTAGGCTTCAAAATACACAATGGAAAAACCAAGAACCTCAAATACAATACAGAGGACATCAACTGAATCATATTTGATGGAAAACCTCTGAAAGGGGTGGAAATTTCCACGTACCAGGACAGCCTTATCGATCAACAAGGAGAATTTAATGTAGATGCAAAAACTTGACTTGACAAATTAAGGACAGCATTCTTACAGTTGAAGCATAAAAACTCTCAGCAAACAGAATAGTCAGAGTGTTCCATATGAACGTCAAGATAGTCCTACTGTACGGAGCTAAAACTTCGAGAACTGCCACAACTATGATCAAAAAGGTACAAGAATTCATAAACAATTGTCCACACAAGATACTGAATATCTGTTGACCGGATGCCATCAGTAACATTCTACTGTGAAAGAGAACAAACGAGATTCCAACTGAAGAGGAAATTTGGAAAAGACTATGGAAGTCGATAGGACACACATTGAGGAAATCATCAAACTCCATCACCAAGTACACCCTAACTCGAAATCATGAAGTTAAACGGAAAAGATGAAGACCAAACAACACATCAAACCTACTATCTTCTAGCATTTGAAAGTCTCATTCACTCAGATCTTCAAGTATACCACCTTGGAACTTTTATTAAGTTTAAACAACACCATACGATTTATTCATGTTAAGTGAAGAAACATGTCAGTTTGTAAACAAACTAAGCACCTAAATATTGTTTGATCTGAACGATTTTTGTCCCAGACTGAAACCAATTGATGAAGTGTCAAAAATAAACAAGGTTGATACAGACTGTATTTATATTGTTAATTTCGTACATCCACAACTCTATAACAAATGAGAATATGAGCTGTACATTCATGTCGACCATAAACTGCATTTCGATGAGAAATTGAGAATGTATCTCGTTCAACCTGACAAATTTTCATTTAAAACTCTCCATCATCAAATGAAACTGTCATCATTGATTCATTTTGATTTCTTAAACCATCAACATTTCGACCATATCATCACTATTCATTTGGATTTAATAACATAGAATTAAGTTCACAGTGTTACCTCATTTTTATTTCTCTAAAATAAAAGATTGAATTGTGAGTTTTCAATTGTTAATCTATCTCCCCACCATCACCACCACCACCACCAACAACAACAACAGGAAAAGAAGATGGATAGAAACTAAAAACGATAATGAATTATTCGGTATGAATCATTTAAGATTGAATTATCATTTTAATATTGTCCTAATTTCTTTTTTTAAAAATAAGTTCTATGGTTAATGACCTAATCAGCAACTATTAACTAAATGATAATAAAAATGAGGTAACACTGTGAACTTAATTCTATGTTATTGAATCCAAATGAATAGTGATGATATGGTCGAAATGTTGATGGTTTAAGAAATCAAAATGAATCAATGATGACAGTTTCATTTGATGATGGAGAGTTTTAAATGAAAATTTGTCAGGTTGAACGAGATACATTCTCAATTTCTCATCGAAATGCAGTTTATGGTCGACATGAATGTACAGCTCATATTCTCATTTGTTATAGAGTTGTGGATGTACGAAATTAACAATATAAATACAGTCTGTATCAACCTTGTTTATTTTTGACACTTCATCAATTGGTTTCAGTCTGGGACAAAAATCGTTCAGATCAAACAATATTTAGGTGCTTAGTTTGTTTACAAACTGACATGTTTCTTCACTTAACATGAATAAATCGTATGGTGTTGTTTAAACTTAATAAAAGTTCCATGGTGGTATACTTGAAGATCTGAGTGAATGAGACTTCCAATTGATAGAAGATGACAGGTTTGATGTGTTGTTTGGTCTCCAACTTTTCCGTTTAACTTCATGATTTCGAGTTAGGGTGTACTTGGTGATGGAGTTTGATGATTTCCTCAATGTGTGACCTATCGACTTCCATAGTCTTTTCCTAATATCTTTTTCAGATGTAATCTGACTTATTCTCTCCCATAGTAGGCTGTTGCTGAAAGAGAACAAAATTAACTTTTAACTGAAGACGAAATTAGGTAAAGACGAGGATTGGAAGCAAACATCAAAAGGTTGAATAACAACTGGAAACAAGTGAAAATGATTGTTCAGGATAGATTTGGATGAAGAATGCTGGTGAGCGGTTTACGCTCCTTGACGAGGAGTAACGGGCATAAGTAAGTACATTTGATGGATTTTTTGAATAAATTATATTTAATTTACACTACGGATGATGAGACGATCCGGAAAAAACAGTCCAATGTTGTTTCAACAATCTTGTTGCTATAACCACAAAATTCCTTACAACCAAGTTCGATGGTTACAATTTGTAGTAGTTTGTAATTTCTTGCTATTAAAAATCAGTACTATAACCTATCAGTTTTTCTTGCCTTATATCTATCCTTGGTGGATTTTCGATAAAAATCAAATTTCAACTCTTTATATTACCTTTATAAGCATTAAAAAAGATAGTGGCAATATGGATTCCATTATCTCGTGAATAATTGCTTTATCATCTAAAATGAAAAATACTAGGTTATAGTCAACAATGAAATGAAAACATAACATTCCAAGATGTTTCAAGTAGAACAAAACGTGTATTCTGGATTCCATTGCTAATTACAGTCCATGAAAACTGTTTTAATTATCAGTTTGAACAATTTTATGAATTATTACTGATAATAACGGTAATTATTTTGATGGAACTTTGCTCTCTGAACTGAATGATTCCGTCATGGAGCTTTCGTCGTTATTCTGAACGAGATCATAAGCACCAATTTCAGGTAGAAGTGAAGTGTTCGAATTTCTCCACATATGGCTTACAGCTTATCCTGTAGACCTTGATGTTGATTGAAATCGATCCAATTTATCAACCAACCAGTAAAATTATGTACAAATATTTGACCGGAATTCCCATCAATAGGAGATACAAACAAAATAAAGAAGTAAACAATCACAGTTTAAAGGTTAACAGAAATCAATCAACTTCTAGGTCTACAGGACAAGCTGTCAGTCACATGCGGATTAATTCGACTACTTCACTTCTATTTGAAGTTTATGCTGATGATGTCATTTAGAATAACGATGACAGATCCACGATCAAATCATCCAGTTCAGAGAACAAAACTCCATTTGAGCTACAAATCTTCTCTACCATCTCAACGGTATTTATGAATCACACTGAAATCGTTTTTCAATGAAGAAAAAAAGGCAAAAACAACATGAACAATAAACATTTCAACTTACACTGGTAAATTCAATTGTTTAGCCAATTGAATTTGTATAGTAAATATACTTTTTTGTAAATCTTGTAATTCACTAGTTGAACATATTGTCGGTGTAAAATCTAATCCAATCTAATGTATGTATAGAATAAGATTGAAGGAAAAAGAAAGGAAAAGGAATTTCTACCATTATAATTTTTACATACCTCTCCAATGCCAAAAATTTCAGATTTATGTTGAAGGATCATATCACGAGTATGTTTTAAATCCTAAAAGTAATAAGAATTCTAATATGAAATTTTATTGACAAACTTTCATGTTCACACTACGTTGTCCATTGTGAGTTCCTTCTTGTTTCTAAAAAAAACCCAAAAAAAAACAAGAGTAACAATAGGAGAAAGGAACTGGAAGTTATTCCGGAGAGACTATAATTTATGTACGAACCAATCAGATTCATTCACCCATTTGGCAAAATACCAGTTCGTCATGAAAACTCTAAATCTAATCCCTAACCTTGGCCATCAACTGTAAATCATAATTTTAATCCCTCATACTGGCTTATAATCTTCATTTGGTCCTAGTTATTAGGACACTGTCAAGGTCACTCAAAAGTCGTCCGTGAGTTATAGAATATAAATAAATATGTAATGATGAAATACTTGAACTCTGATAGTGATAAATTAACATTAGACCTTGACGATCATCTTGAAATGAAGATTAAATTGATTTATAACAAACAAAATTTATCAATTGAACTATAAAAAAATTCCTTCAACTAAACTTTTAGAAATACTGGACGTCCATTTCGTTCTAGTATGGGACTCCTCAGCAGTCAGTATCCACGATTACCGCCTCACGAGATTCGAACCTAGGACCTATCAGTCTTGGTCTAGCTTCAATTGACTCATAAATTTAACTATTAAATTATTATAATAATAAACTTTTATAGCTAGCTCAATGATAGCTTGATTCAAAATGTTTCTGAAGTTCCAGTGTGAAGTTGTGATTGGTGGTGTTTAAACAATTGTCACCAGCCCCATTTAATAAATTACTTGAGATAGTCAGAAGTGTGAAATTTCATTCGATTCTCTATATGTTTTTAATATTAAATAATGCCCTATGAATACAATTTTAGGATACAGTAATGACTATTTAGGATGACTACGGACTGAACACCCATAACTTACAAAGTACCGAACATAGGATTTTCGAAGTTTCTCGGCTAACACCCAACAGTTAGAGCCACTGTGTTTGCATCCAATTTTACTATTTCAATTTATTCAGGTTCTGATATTAAAAGACAGTCACTCAATGCTGTTAATGACATCGGCTTTACTCCTGATATGTCTGTTCTTCATCAATTAGGAATTCTCACTAGAATTTTCGGAGCTTCATGAAATAAGTCATTAGTAAATTGACTACTATAATTCAGTCATGGGGGTTTTATGGTGATCGCTTTACTCTATAGGTTGTGTTCACTACAGACTGACCCAAATTGGGCTACCACTGAATTGTATAATCGTCGAACTATCTCGCATGTTATGAAGAACATGAACCATAAGTTAAATCATTCTCATTTTTGAGCACTGGTTGATTGAATTTTCCCAATGATATTCAGAACTGCAAATGATCACTTTCTTATTGACATGTGTGCATTCTGAACGGATTGCCTCGATATAGCCTTAATTCACTAGCATTATAAGAAGAGTTTGATGACGGGTCGTAAATAGGACGAAACGCACGTACTAGATTCCGTTGCAAGCGACTATTCATCTCTGCTTATAAGTCATTCTCCATTAAAATCGTTTAAACATAACTTTAATGTTATTCGTTGAAACTTCTATCCAGTGGAAAATAATTTATGTAACACATTAGATATAAACCTATGGAATTAAATGAATTCATAGATTAGATAGTCTTTTGTAATTCACATATAAAGTTTTTTTTTTACCTGAACAGGATGAATCCCAAGGCAAACATTAATCCAGTCAGGATATCTAAATATCAAAAAAATTAAAATAAATAATAATACCAGAAGGGTTTTTGTGGATATTATAGTAATTTCAATGGCTGAGATCATGAGTCAATTAAAGGTAGATCACCATGGAAAACCTGGAAGTACTGGACGACCGTTTCGTCGTGGATGCGCACTGCTGAGGAGTCCCGTAGTGGGACAAAACTGCCATCCAGTGCTTCCAGATTTTACATGGTGGTCTACCTTTAATCGACTCATGATTTCAACTATTTAAATAATAGTAATTAAACATTTTAAGGACTCAATTATACAAATAATTTTGTATTTGAAATGAACTCAGAATCATTAACTTTACCTGATTATAATGATTTATGCATCATAGTAATAATACCATTTATTTTTCAAAGGTCATTCCCTCTTAACAGAATGTTCGTAGTGTTAAGGAAGCTAGTGGAGATACATAAATGTTCTTAATTAAAATGAAGATAACTCTATAGTGCTCACTCATATGACTCGGTATTTGATGGACCTGTTGAGTAATTTTTGTACAATTCCTATCCACGACCCTGAATCTGGAAATGAAACCAAGGGGACGCTAGTCTCCCACACAATCTCTTAAACTCTAGACCACTGAGCCGGCATATAACGGTGTTGATGTCAATTTGCGACTTTGTTCAATCCTCACGATTGTTAAATAAATATATTTCTATTGAAATTTCGTCTACTTATAATGATCGTGAGGATTATTTTCGTTGTTGTGTGTTATTTTGAAATATTCTTAAAATATTCTGACAGCGTTCAATTAGATCGTGACAAATCCTGATCGTTATTTTAATTCTAAAATTTCCCCTATCAAATTTAATTCTGATAAGTTCTTTAAATAAATTATTCAATTCTCTAACAACTACAGTTAATCAATAATAGGGAGTGAAGTAGTCATACGCGTTGATAACTTCACTTATCTTGGAAGTCTGATCAGCTCTAGTGGGTTGGTGTCTGACGAAATCTCAGCACGGATTCGAAAGCTCGTTTGGCTTTTGCCAACTTACGTCGTCTATGGCGAAGGCGAAATATCCGTCTATCAGCAAAAGGACGAGTATACTGCGCGGCAGTCCGTTCTGTCTTACTTTACGGCAGCGAAACATGGCCTTTAAGAGTAGAAGACACCCGTAAGCTACAAGTATTTGACCACAGATGCCTTAGAAATATTACTGGCGCCTGCTGGGATCATCAAGTAATAGTGAGGTTAGACAAAGGGTATTAGGGAATGATGGTAAATCAGTTGATGAGGTTGTGAATCTTCATCGACTGAGATGGTTGGGCCACGTGTTACGTATGCCCGAACACCGATTACCACGACGTGCAATGCTAACTGGTGTTGTAGATGGTTGGATGATAGTTAGGGGCAGCCAAACCAAAACGTGGCATCAGTGCTTGAAGACACTAACTTCTAGTCTGAGCCATATTGGGAGATGCAGACTACTTGGTTGGGGTCCGCGTGACTGTCGTAACCAGTGGTTGGAGACTCTTGGCGACATGACTCAGAACCGATCACAATGGCGCAGGTGTATACACTCTCTATCTTCCCTTAAACTAAGAGATTAAAATCGCTTCACATCTTTCTTTCTACGAACCAATCCTTATATGCAATCTTTCTTTTATATATTGCCACCTCTGAATTAACTACTTTTATGAATCCGATGTTGTGTGTTAGTGAGGTATGGCAACTTGGACCGATGCATATATGTGCCTGGTCCTACGTTGTAGCTGACCAACTGACAGTTAACCAAAATGAGATTCAAAGATAAATTAGTTCTATCTTGTTCATGGAAGCTAAATGAGGTTGAATTCCATCATAGAATAAAACTTTTATGGCTATAAATAGTTGATTATGTTGTTTCTAAGGTGTTTCAATTAATTTAGAAACTTTTTTGATGCCAGTCAAGAATTTTTGGGGTGTTTTATTAAAATTATTTTCTACTTCTAAATTACAGCTCATATTGTGGTATGTGCTACTGATCTAGGCAGATATAAGTAGTATGTATCACTAATCGATAGTGAAATATCTGTGGACATTAGGTTAAGAAGATCATAGGAAAAGAGAACAATAACAAAGAATGATTAGTGTGGAAACAAAAGAACAATCAAATCTAAGACGACTGATTTACATTTTGCAATTGAAATATTTGCTGTATGGTTCTCGGAATTGACAAAGACATTTGGTAATATTGTATTCAAATACATTTGATTGTCCCCACTTGTGTTCTTGTTCAATATAATATAGCTTCATACGTTTACTTAATTAACATCTTGAGAAGATCAAAGCTTTTCAGAGAGGAAATGTTACATTTTACTTACTTACTTACGCCTGTTACTCCTAATGGAGCATAGGCCGCAGACCAGCATTCTCCAACCCACTCTGTCCTCGGCCTTCCTCTCTAGTTCTATCCAATTGTTGTTCATTCTTCTCATGTCTATCTCCATTTCTAGATGTAATGTGTTCTTTGGTCTTCCTCTTTTTCTTTGACCTTGGGGATTCCAAATGAGGGCTCGCCTTGTGACGCAGTTCAGTGCTTTCCTCAATGTGTTTCCTATCCACCTCCAGCTCTTCTTCCTAATTTCTCCCTCCGCTGGAATCTAATTTGTTCTCTCTCATAGTAGGTTGTTGCTAATAGTGTCTGGCCAACGGATCAGAAGTATTTTGCGTGGACAACTGTTAATAAACACTTGTATTTTTTGGATGATGGCTTTCGTAGTTCCGCAAGTTTTCGCCCCATACAGTAGAACTGTCTCGACATTTGTATTAAAACTTCTGACTTTGATGTTGGTTGATGGTTGTTTTGAGTTTCAGATGTCCTTCAGTTGTAGATATGCTGCTCTTGCTTTGCTGATCCGCGCATTCACATTTGCGTCAGATCCACTGTGCTCACCAATGGTGCTGCTCAGATATGCAAAGGATTTTACATCTTCCAAATCTTCTCCGTCAATTGTGATTGAATTGGTGCATGCTGTGTTGTATCGGAGAATCTTGCTTTTCCCTTTGTGTATATTGAGACCTACTAAATGTTACATTTTATTCAAACCTTATTATGTAAGTAGTATGTGGGGTCTATGGTAAAGGTAAACCTTTTAGTTAAGAGTGAAGATCAAAACAGTAATGAAATTATACATAAATAAATTAATATATCTGTCTAGGATAAATAATTTGTGATAAAAATGAACGAAAATGAGGAATTTTCAGTATTGTATAGTGATCTAGTATTATAGGGAATTAATCAGTTATCTTTATGTTTCAGTATTGTTTGAATTGGATTTCTTTGTTAGATAATAATGGATAATCAGTAAAAGACCCTCAACGAATATTTCATGTCTGTTGTCTTATGTCAGCAGTTTTCGGAGGATGATCAATTATCTGAAGACACTGGATTAACTTTATTGACAAGTATTGAATAGCACAAAACTTTAGTAAAATAGAGATTTGATCGATTGAATTCAACTATATAACTAGACTTCGCAGATGATCTGGCTTCTCTATCGCATACGCAACAACAAATGCAGGAGAAGACGAACAGTGTAGCAGCAGCAGACTCAGCAGCAGTAGGTCTTAATATACACAGAGGGAAAAGCAAGATTCTCCGATACAACACAGCATGCACCAATTCAATCACAATTGACGGAGAAGATTTGGAAGATGTAAAATCCTTTGCATATCTGAGCAGCACCATTGGTGAGCACAGTGGATCTGACGCAAATGTGAATGCGCGGATCAGCAAAGCAAGAGCAGCATATCTACAACTGAAGGACATCTGAAACTCAAAACAACCATCAACCAACATCAAAGTCAGAAGTTTTAATACAAATGTCGAGACAGTTCTACTGTATGGGGCGAAAACTTGCGGAACTACGAAAGCCATCATCCAAAAAATACAAGTGTTTATTAACAGTTGTCCACGCAAAATACTTCTGATCCGTTGGCCAGACACTATTAGCAACAACCTACTATGAGAGAGAACAAATTAGATTCCAGCGGAGGGAGAAATTAGGAAGAAGAGCTGGAGGTGGATAGGAAACACATTGAGGAAAGCACTGAACTGCGTCACAAGGCGAGCCCTCATTTGGAATCCCCAAGGTCAAAGAAAAAGAGGAAGACCAAAGAACACATTACATCTAGAAATGGAGATAGACATGAGAAGAATGAACAACAATTGGATAGAACTAGAGAGGAAGGCCGAGGACAGAGTGGGTTGGAGAATGCTGGTCTGCGGCCTATGCTCCATTAGGAGTAACAGGCGTAAGTAAGTAATTAATATAGCTAATACAATCTATCTTCACTTTAAAACGATCCATGTTTATTTAGAAGAAAATTATTTGAATTGGGAAGTAAACTATACAGCTTCGCCGAAATCATCATCATTGAATTGTGATGACCTTTTATCTGACTATAATTAAATCATATTATGATTATCATAGGAAAATATATATCCCGGTAACCTTCGTATATAATCTTCAACTTAAATCGCATTAATGAATAACAGAATTAAATAAGACAAATATTAGGATGAATTTCGAAGACGTATATTTCACACAATCGTTGATCCAGACAGATGATCAGAAAAACAAGCGAAAAGGAGAGAGATGAGCGAGACAGATTGGAGAAGGCGAGAGAGCCAACTTGATTGGGTCATGCGTAGTTCAATGTTTGTGGTCAGATAAAAAATAAGTTACAGAAATGTGATTAGATAAGAAATACGCACACATATACTCATATAAAAACAGTCAAGACTGATAAGTGAATAATTAAGAAGACCAGAATTTGACTCAAGAAGGATGAATAAATTAGCTTTTCAAGAGGCTAGGGAGGTACTAGACACAACAAAATGGTGTTGAGACGGCTTCCGAGAATTCCAGAGACCCTAAAGGAACCGAATAGTTTCCATTCAATCAGAACATGATGGAGCTTTCTAGAATATCAAAGTGGCATGCTACTGCTGGACCGTAGCATAGCATGCCTCTTTGCGGATTGGTTGAATTATAATTTTGGTATAACAAACGCTAAGATAATTGACTGCACCAACGACTAGTTTAATTCATCTACATTATTTGTACAAGATTGTTTATGCTCACTGAGGAGTTCCATGTTAAGATGAAACGGCCGTCCACTGAATTCAGGTTTTCAATGATGTCCCAATATTGATCAACTCATGATCTCAATCTAAACTCAATAATCCCTACAACCCTATACTGATAATTATCATGTGCATAGTAGTGACTAGATTCAAGATGGAACTCTCGGAGTTCTAATGAGAAGCCGCGACCAGTGAAGCTAATCAATGTCGAGTGTGAGGTAGTTACCCACCAAAGATAAAGGGAAATGGACGCACAATATCGTGAATTGATTAAAGTTAGACATCAATACCGTTGGACCTCGGCTCAATGGTCTGGAGATTGAGTGTTCGTTTGCGAGACCGAAAGTCCTGGGTTCCAATCCGACGTGTGGGATCGTGAATATGCACTGCTATGGAGTCCCAGGTTAAGACGAAACGGCCGTGCAGTGCTTCCAGGTTCTCAATGGTGGTTTAACATCAATTAGTTCATGATCTCAATCAAAAACTTAATAATCTCCACAACTTTCACTGTTCTTAGTATCCTTCAAGTAGGAAATCTGTACATTATTACTACTGTGTTGTATGCTACATATGTCTACAGGCATGAGTAGTGTGTAACACCAATCGAAATTGAAAACTGACAGCTGAAGGCTAAGAAGATAAAGTTGATGAGAATAGGAAAGAAAATAGAAAGGAATTGTGAACTTGAAGAATCACATAATAATTTTTTAACCACCATTACTTTGATTTGCTTCAACAATCCTTAACTGCAATAGTTGAAATCATGAGTCACTTGAAGCTAGACTGATAGGTCCTGGGTTCAAATCCCGCGGGGGGGGCGGGATCGTGGATGCGCACCGTTGAGGAGTCCTATACTAGGTCGAAACGGCCGTCCAGTGTTTCCAGGTTTTCCATGTTAGTCTAGCTTCAATTGACTCATGATTTCAACTAATGAAATTTCTAAAATCTCCACAAAACTACTTCTGATAATCCTTAATTGACTGATTCAACTATTACATAATAAATTTCATGCTTTAACAATGATATAAATTAAGTAATTAATTGATAAATGAAATGTATATGTGGTTAATAAGGAGTATACCTCTTTTTTAATTCAAATATTTTTGAAAAATCATTTCTATTCTCGGTTAATACAATAGCACCATGAACATTTGAAGATATTGCACGACTGATTACATTGTCAATATCCTAAATGAATGAATATTAGAAAGTACACCAACTATTAGAACATAGTTTTGATTGACTGATATTGAAAAAAATACATAACTTATTGTATTAGTTAAACCAATAGGTACTTTTACTTTACTTAGTTACGCCTGTTACTCCTCGTGGAGGAGCTTATCTCGCCCATTAGTACTCTCTATCCAACGATGTCCTGGGCAGTCCTTTCCAGTTGATATTCATCCTTTTCATATCTGTTACTATTATCCGACGTAATGTGTTTTTGGCCTTACTCTTTTCCGCTTCCTTTCAGGATTCCAAGTTAGGACTTGCCTCGTGATGTAGTTTGGTGATTTCCGTAATTTATGTTCTATCCATTTCCATCGTCTTTTTCCGATTTCCTCTTCAGATGGAAGCTGGTTTGTTCTCTCCCACAGTAGGCTGTTGATGATGGCATCCCCTCAATGGATAAGAGACGAATGAGTTGAGATTTTTCTGATACAATTAAATTATTCTATATGATGATTTAATATCATCTTGGAATACAGAGAATAGCATTTTTGTCTTTGTTTGAACTTCGTTAATTATAATGATATCATATAGGTTTGTATACAAAACCTATAGAACTCATTTGAATATCTTATAAGTTAGTGATACAAGTCAATATGATTCAGTTTCATTGACGGTTGTACCACGATGACAATTATGAATGGTAACTTTTGAGAACTATTTATGGATCAATACAATACATATATATTTTTTTAGTATAATTGGTATGCAACTAAACTATGCATATTCATGTTCCTCTTATTTTAAGCCTTATTTCGACATATGGACTGTTATTATACGATTTACCGTTCTTAAGTTATCCCCAGTCTATCAATTACAGTCTCCCACATTCACATTTGGCTAAATCTTGTATAAATGTTATTTTCTATTTTATGGTATAATGTGGTCTGTCTGATTTGTATATAAGCCCAGTATGTTTGAAATACATAATTCACATTGCAGAAACTGAGATTTGTATTCTGGACTCAACATGCAGGGGTAGGAAGAAAGAAGGACCGGCAAAGACTATAGACTGCTTGTATGGGTTTACGCCTCATTGACCCGGTCGACAACTCACTGTTCTCTATTTGGCGGTATCATTACGTCATATATATTAATAGGGCACAAGGCCACAAGTTATAACAACACAATATAATCTTTCCGAAGTAATGTGATGATTTCATTTCTGTTTTAATTAACTGAAAATCAATGTGATCATAAATTAAATTAGTTCGGTCACACAAAGATAGTTATATATATTTCTAAATATTAATTTCCGTATTCTAGGCTCGGAAATTTCTTTATCTCTAAGGTTTTGTTTCCTAAGAGACAAAACTAACAACGTTCGAATTCATATGAGGTGATTTTGTTCTTGTTAAACTAATTTTTTCTTTGTTTATCAATATTAGTATATATTAAAAGGGGAATTGATATCAACTTTAATGCTAAAATGATATTTAGTCAAATAAGTGAATGAATTTCGCGCCAAAATTCAAGATCTGCTAGCTTAAATCTGATTGGTTTATCCATAAATTATAGTCTCGCCAAAAAAAGCTAAATAATTAGTTTGACTCAATTATTTAATATAAATCAACTGAATAGTAATAAATTCACTTGATGTTGTTTTACTTTTATCTTCACATGGTTGTTTACGACTGCGATTGATCAGTCTCTTGTTGGCATATGTGCAGATTGCCTATATATAGCCTTAAGTCATAAGCTTTTTTTAAGCAAAGATGGATAGTGGTTAGAAATGAAATCCAGTTTGATGCACGTTTCATCCTATTTGAGGCTTATCATCTGGATATACCTGCATCTCAAAGTTGATCTACACTCTGGGACTCGAACCCAGTACTGTTCACTGCTAGTGAGTCCTGATACACATATGTCAACAAGAGACTGATCAATTACAATACTAAATAACAATGAAAAGATACAAATAAACAATACCAGATGAATTTAAACTTTATCCCATTGTACAAGCAGGTGGCTATCAGGACTCAGTAGCTAAGTGGATAACGTGATAGCGTTTGAAGTGAACGGTACTGGATTGGAGTTCTGGAGCAAACATCACCTCTGAGATGCAGGTAGGACAAAGTAGCATGCGTCAAACTGAATTCAACTGTTAGCCATTATTCATCTTTATTTAACAACTGAATAGTATCTTTCATGATCAATTTAACATCAGTATAAAAAAGGGAAATAATGACATGAAAAGGGAATATATATTATTATCATCATTGCCTGAAATAATTTCCCTAGTATAGTTCAATTTCTTTTGAGTGTCATGTTTCCTTAACGGAATATTTCTTTATATATATATATATGTTTCTTCATAAGGATATATCTCTTATTATCATTATTGATTATAGTAATAAGACTCTTGTCCTTAATAATGGTATCTATGCTGAACAAATAGATTTTCATTAGATGAACTGTTGACTTACAAAAAAAACAAAAAAAGAGAAAACAAAGAAAAACGAGGTATTTAACTTAAAAATGAAAAGAATAACCTTTTGTTTTGTTTTTCTGAATAAAGAAGAACATGAGGCAATTTAAAATATTAGAATTTAGATTAAAAGAAACGTTGAAAGCTAAATGTTTTAACTAATTCACTGAATACAACTTAGTATATTTGGATACACGTCACGAGTATGAGGGCTAGTGAGGAAGTTTGGGACCGGTAATTTAATGGTTGAAAGTAGAACACTTCATACCCTAAGCCCCCCAAATGCCCTGGTACGGCCGAGAGTGGGGAGAGTCAGCCCTCCCTCTAGGAATGCTCTCATATGGCCACGTGCATACAACTACTTCTAGCACTGGAGGTGTTTTTTACAAAATTGAGAGGACGAAAAGCTAATGTTCGGCGCTTTAACCGGGTTGGTGGACAAGGAGAGTCCACCTAGAGGAGTTGGAAAACCCTCATTCCAAACCAATGGTGCACATGAGCTCCAGTATCCTGTCTGATTAAATGGCGTATGAACCTACTGTTGGTCACTGGCTACTATGGGACTGCATCTCCTTACGTTGCTCCACTTCCTTGTGGATTAAACCTTTAGATCAAAGGCTCCAGGTGTTGCCCCCTAAAAAACCAGCTACTTCGGTTTTAGCACCTGGGTAGTATTCCAGCTCTCACACGAATCGAACAACTTATGTGGCGCATATCTATTTGGTGCCTCCTTTTACCAATGTTTATGTGTTTAAATAAACAAATAATAAATACACCGATCAAGTTACTGATAATTAACACTTGTTATTGGTAATAGACAGAAATGAATAAACATTGAAATTCATTACCAACATACATAATAACTTATACAATTACTTGGATAAAATACCTAAATGATGATACAATAAGAGGGTAATTCTAATATTTTAAAAAAACACAAACATTAGCCAGCACAGACTTTTTAAGAAAAACAAATTATTAACTTGATCAACTTACATTATCAAAAATAGATTCACACAAATGACAATGTGTATCAATCACAGAACGTTTCTAAAAAGGAAACATTTACAAACGCTCATATCATAATGATTTTAGATTTATATCAGAAAGGGTTTTGTGAATATTATTAGTAATTTTAATAGTTTACATTATGAGTCAATTGAAACTAGACCACTATAGAAAACCTGGAAGCACTGGACGACTGTTTCGTCCTACTGTGTGATTCTTCAGCAGTGCACATTTTAGGTTTTCCAGTTTTAAACATATTCTTAAACTCTTTAAAAAACATATGGCTTACTTACATTGTGTAATGCAGACATTTGTTTACTAAAATTGATACAAATAATGATGAAATGTGGAAAACTGTTACTATGCCTATTTAGACCAATCAAAACTCATATGTTATATGGATAATTTTGTAATCCAATAAATTTGTTTATTTATCTTTTAGTTTAAATTTGGACAAATCAGATGAAAGAGAATTCTTTGGGAATATTTCAAAAGACAACCATATGTCTATTTAGACACTGACATCATTGGATGCCGGCTCAGTGATCTAGTTGGTTAGGTGCCTGGCGCGAGACCGATGGCCCTGGGTTCGAATCTCGCGGGGTACGGGATCGTGGATGCGCACCCCTGAGGAGTCCCATACTAGGACGAAACGGCCGTCCAATGCTTCCAGGTTTTCCACGGTGGTCTAGCTTCAATTGACTCATGATTTCAACTAATGAAATTTCTAAAATCTCCACAAGCCCCTTCTGAAGACAACCATATGTTTATTATGAATAAAGAGTTACATGGGATGAATACTGTAATATGTATAAATGTAACGCTATACTTATCCTCACTTTTTTTTAGAAAAAGATCTAGTGTTTTTGTTTTCTTATTTTTGACTCGTCAAATGTGTGCGTGTGCCTGCATACAGGTGTCTATATTCATACAGAGACTCGAACTCAATGCACTTTTGTTCAAACACCAATGCTTTATCCACTGAGCACTCAATTGGTTGTAAAATATACTGACAATGTATGATCGAGATCATGAATCGATTGATGTTGGACCACTATTGAAAATCTGAAAGCACTGGACGGGCGTTTCGTCCTATTATGGGACTCCTCAGCAGTGTGCATTCACGATCCGGCCGGCAAGATTCGAACCTAGGACCTTCGGTTTTGCGCGTGAACGCTTACCGTCTAGACCACTGAGTCGCACAATTTCGTGGATTGGTTGAGGTTAGATATTAACACCATTGGATGCCAGCCGGCTCAGTGGTCCAAATGATCGAAGGTTCCGGGTTCGAATCCTGCAAGCCGTATCACGGATGCTTGCTGCTGAAAAGTCCCATAATAAAACGAAATGGCGGTCCAGTGCTTCCAGGTCTTCAATGGTGGTCTAACATCAATCGATTTATGATCTCAATCAAAAACTTAATAATCTCCACAACCCCATGTTGATAAAGTACGATCGAAAGTCAATTTTAAACATCGACAATCGGATAATACAGACTTTCGCAAATAAAATATAGATGAACATGTGACTGTTTTTTTAAAGTGAAAATTGAAGAAATAATTTGAATTATTTTCTGGCTCGCGTTTTTTGTAGTGATTTATCCTTCTACAGGATGGGGCCGCTAACCCTATGCCCAACCCTCCTCATTTATCTGGGCTTGAGACCGGCAGTAGCCCCAGAGGGGCTCCGAGCGAAGTTTTTAAAAAATTAATTAATACATAATTAATGTTAGGAATATAGTATTTATCACGATGATTCACTAATATGATAAGTTTAATCCTGCTACTTTTAAATAATAATCTTGACTTCAGAGGTTGATCAGGATAACTTTATGTTAATAAAACATGAAAAAAATCATTGTCATCATAACTAATGACAATCAGCTCTGATATAAATAAAAAGTAATTTACATCTACATTTTACATACTATTAAATGATGAGATCTATTTCAAAGTTATCTATTCGATGAAAATGTTATTAAATACGTAGAATATATAGCATGTTGCGAGTAGTGAAATCCAGTACTTGCGTTTCATTCTATTTGGTACTGGTCAGCTAGATGCATTAACATCCTAGAGTCCGTTTCCACATATTACATGAAAACCCTGATGTTCCAAACCAGGTAATTCTACCTAAAAGTGCATTCTAATATGGTAAACTTTATTTAATCAAATTTCATGGGAATGTAAAGTTTCATCCCAGTTTTCCAGATACTGTTTTAAAAACATCACTTGCCACCACACACTTGTTTATAAACCTTGATCAAAGATTAACTAATAAAAAGGAAGTCAAACCTTGTTGGTTATATGTTTTTAAATAAATGCTACACTTCATAAACAATACTGCAAGATAAACCTAATATGTGCATTGAAGACTAAGTGATTTGTAAATATAACACTGAGGTTGCAGTCACAAAAACGCTTATTCAAGTCTTACTCCACCTGTTTTAGTTGAATCAACATGGTGACTCGACAAAGTTGGTGAACCTGTACTTGGATAGAAACCTTTTATATTTGAAGTTCACACGAAAGGGAGCAGGTGGTAAGTATAAAAAGTCTTACTTTACAAACAAACTTATGTAGATTTAAAAAGAGGATACCTCTAGGCTTACAAGTAAGTTTGATGTTCTAGACGTTTAAATGTTACAAAATTGGCAATTGTCCAACCAGAGCATGACACAATTTATGGAAGCCTGGCAAATTCCTATTGAATGCCGATTCAACGAGGCATATAAAAATTTCACCTGGTCCCTGAAGACTCTTTCCAGGAATTCTAACTGCCAATGTCTACAAAAAGTCGCTAAATACAGACGAGACCTAGGGCTTTCCGGCGTATATACCGAAATTTATCTTCATATACTGATAGATTTTTCATAGCTAAATTTATTGCAGGTGGAACTAAAGTATAGGGACGATCTTTGGGGATTCTAAAAATAATCATTTAAAACCTCAAGCACTTATCCTGTTCAAAATTGGGTTAGCAATTAGCGTTAGGGAGTACGATTGATACCTGAGGTTAAACGTTTGGACAAGAAATTAAAGTTAAGATTCCCAACTCGAACTGATATCAGCTATAATGTAAGAACCCTATCTGGTTTTATGGATGAATGAATTTCGTGCACAAATTCCAGAGTTGCTATCACAAGTCCGATCGGTTCTTTCCCTTTTTCTTTAACGGCACTGTATTACAAAGAGATATGAAATCCGATATATTAGCTGCGAGCTTAGTTGTCTCCTTGACAGAAAATAACCAAAACCTTTTCGCTTTTACCGTGATAAAACTGTCAGTGTAGACTTCTACGAAAATGATCAATTGAATAGAGTGGCGAAATGAGAATCGTTCCCTAATTTACCCAGTAGTACGTCTCCCAATTCCCCAAATACCTTCATTGTGTAATTATTCCCACATGTAAGATACTAGGTGCAGTAGGAAGTTAATTAGCTGTTAGTAATGTTGAGTCACACTATATTTTCCAAATTATAACCGATCTGAAACCAAGGACACCTATATAATACCATCCGCTTACAAGTGAGACTGATTTATTAATTAATAAACATTTGCATTGTACTGAACGAGAACTTCAGCGGGGGAAATCAATTTGTTCTTCTCTGCAAAATTACACAGTTCCTTAGTAAAACATGAAAATCATACGCGATTTACACATCTTCCTTCAGTTGTCATTTACATACTTTATAGTCCTTTCAATTTTATCGTTATTCTAACTGCTATTCTCCTCAACTCAATATTATGCTGGCAGACTTTCCACTTCCGATTGCTGCTACATATTACCTATATCTGTCAGCATAAGTAGCATACAGCACAATATCACTTAAATGTTTTATGAAGTATGAACAAAATCAATCATATAGCTACTCAACTTCAAAAATATTTGGTTGGACTTTAAAGATACTCATTTAATTATCCTTGGCTGTTTGAACAGCCATTCAAAAGATTAATTATTTTCCCATACTTTAATTGGATCACATTGGACAAAAGGTGAAGACAACTAATTAGTTTTTTTGGAATTTATGTTACCTTCGACGATTATCAAAATTTAGTGTACAAACAGTAACCTTTTGCAAATGATCTTTTTTCGCACCATATTTAAAAAGGGTACCAATGTACAGTGAACTAGTCGTCTTGAAAATTGCTCGAGTTATAAACATTCATTTCAGATGATTGCTCCGAATTTTATAAGATGAAGAAAAGAAATAGGTGCATTGAAACAAATGAAAATTCCGGACTAGTGATTGAAGTACAAATATAGATGGGTTTTTCGTTTGAATACTCAACTGTATACAAAAAATTAACCTGTTTACTACGATTACAGTAATCATGACGCCGTTCTTTTGTGACTATGGTCAAATTATCCATATGTATAATTATACATGAAAATATTAATAGAAGTGAAAGGCTTTTGTGACCACCTGGAAAGCCAGTTACCTAGGTACCAAGATTTTTATGATACTAAACACAGTATTCATCCTGATGATAATAATCCCTGACTGACCTCAGCCGGGGTGTGACAGAAAATCATTCAATTTCGAACGGCTGTTTCGTCCATGTATGGTGCTTTTCAGGAGCGCACGCCCACGACATCATGGTTGACCAACTCCAGGACTTTCAGGTCATGCAATAGGGACTGAACCACTAGTATGTTGATCGGATCATAGATGAGCACTGATGAAAAATCTTATTTTTGTATTCGACAACTATCCCATCCTATATGGTTTTTAATGATACTTTAACTACAGTTATTCTATGACGAACATTATCTAAAAATTGAAATAATCTCCGCATAATCACTTCATGTATGAATTGTAATTAATTATTAAGGTTCAGAATTCAGTAGACAAACATCTTTGTGTGTAGACTCCTCATTGCTAAAAACGTTCGTTGGACTACCACAAAAATAATCCCAGACATCTGTAAAACGTATATAATCAAACGGAATTCCATATGATTACGTTAGAACATTCGGATTAATTGATGATAACAGACGAATTGACATGCATTTTTTCTTGCATTGTGGAGCAGTAGGCTTGCTATGATACCGGACGCAAGTTCCCAAGTTGAGATATAACTATTTGTTAGGTGACTACAGACTTTTGCACTGAGATGTCTACAAATATAACATACTAATTAGCATGCGATGATGATCGTTTCAGAAGTTTGTTTATGACAATAAAGGATTGACTGTGAGAATCCTATCAATACGATTAACATACATAACCTATCTTTTTTGACCTTACCAACCAAAACAATAAACTACAAAAGCCAAAAGTCTACCGCAAAACAAACAGAAAATACTTCA